CAAATCTCCATCCCAACTGAGTCATTATGTGAGGTTAACATTGGCATAAACATGATCTGAGCATATCCTGTTAAATATCTACATTAGAATACTTCAAGTGGATTTTTTTTTATTTTTAGAAGATACAAATTTTTGAAGTTTTTATCCCACGAGGAAGAAAAATGGCTTGAGGATTAAACAAAGATCTGGGGCTCAGGGAAAAATACAACAGAGAATACAGAGCTGGGTTTTGACTGTGATACTACTTTACCCATCTTACCCCTCACCCACTCAACAAAGAGCAAAACAAAGTCTGGCTGCTAAAGTAGCATTCCAATGCGCATTGAGCCAACAGTATGCTGTTGTTCCCAAGACACAACATGAACTCAGAAATGACACACCCTTAATGAGATATTCACTCCACCCAGTCATGATGTGACCATGGCTTATTTTGCAACACATTGCTTCACTGCGACTCCTCTACCCCAACTCAGGCTGCTGACATTTGGCCTTCATGGTGAGATGTCTCTCTCTTTCTCTCTTTCTCCCTCCTCTCTCCACCTTTGTGTTGATCTTTAAAAACCTCAGATATAAGCAGCAGCCTTGTTTTCTCGTGTGTGTGTGTGTGTGTGTGTGTGTGTGTGTCTGCCTTCCTGTAGGTAGTTAAGTAAGACAATTGTGTTCTCAGATAAACAATTATCTTATCCCTTTCACCGAGGATGCAACTCGATGAAACTGATCTGTCTGTTCAGAAGCATGACTACTATTGGCTGGTGATTATAGATTCACATACTTTTTATATGTTGACCTCTTTTAATAACTCAGTAACAGACTCTAGAGGGAAGGAATAAATGGGCAGAAGGGGAGCTCTTTGCCAAATGAACCTAGGGAGGGTTTCAGCAGCGGTCATGAGATGTGCCGTGGTTTTGAACTATTTCCATCTTGGGTGGGTGACTCACCTGCCGGGTCTTCCACTCACTGAATGTCTGTGGTGCGGAGAGTCTGAGAATTTAAATCTTGGGGCTCAGTTAGTTTTTCCGACTCACGAGTGTCATAGTTCCTTTCAAGTCTTGATCATTTCAGTGGTTTTTATTAATTTTGTAAAAAAAAAAAAATGTAATGATTTAAGAGAACACATCAATGGCAGGCGTCTGCCTCTTGGGGCCGTGTTTGGTTCCCTTAAGTCTGTCATGACATCAGTTGGCAGAACCAAGGTCAACAACTAAATCTATTTTTTTTTTCATTCTGAATGGATTGCTTTTATCTAATTGAAGAAAAACCTGAAATATGTTAACACTAGTATTGACTCTAACTTCCTTGTTCACAGTAAATTGTCTGAAGGATTCCTTCATGTGATCATAATTGCACTGCATAAACCTACAGAGGAAGTTCTGGAGTTCTCTTGTTTGTTCTGCTGCCTTCCCCTTATTAGAGAATGAAACCTCAATTATTTGAACACCACAGTTCATTAGTTTGTGAAGCCATCAGTATCTTTATTTCCTTAAGTACTACCTTTCCTCCTTTTTGATGGAATTTTGACAAGGGAGGGTAGGATGAAGATGCTTTGACAGTAACTGGGAAAGAGGCAAAATTTCATGCAGATTAATCTTCATATAAATCCCTTCTTCAGCCAGATCTGGCGCCACCTACAGCCTGCTTCCCTTCTGCCTTCAATACGTGTGCAGTCCAGCTACAGTTTGCCTTCTCCCCACGAACACCGGGTGTAATTTCTCCTTAACCTCTTTGACATTGACCTATACTTGCAGCATCTGCCTCACCTGTCACTTCCGTTCCTGAGCACGCACGTGCCTGCCACTTGTGGTCTCACCCGGAGCCTGGGTGACTTCCTTGGGTTCCCACACACCTCTACTTCCGATTCTTCTGGCTGCATCTGTCCCTGAGGGCTGTACTTGTTCCGTGGCACCTATGCCTCTCTTGTTTGAACTAACGTCCCCTCCCTGGGCTCTCCTGGCTAACTCAGTTTTGCAATTACCTGTGTGTGACAGCCCCTCTGTGGGAAGCCGGGTCCAGTGCTCAGAAAACAATCGCATCTCATAGCAAGTTCTGCAGTATCCAACATGGAAAAGATAACATGAGACTAGGAAACCCACTGAGCAATTGCTGCTATACCTTGGCCTTGGCCCCATGTGTGTGTTTTAAATAAATGATCTGGGGGCAGATGTTTGGCTCAGTGACAGAGATATTCCTTGCAATGCTCATATCCCACATGAGAGTTCTTGGTTTGGAGCCGGCTTTGAATCCAACTTTCTGTTAGTGTGGACTGGGGGAGGCAGTGAGGGATGACAGGTCTACTTGGGTCTCTGTTTCTCGTAAGGACTAACCAGATAGAATTCCAGGGATCCTGGCTTTGGCCTGGCCCGATCCCTACTGCTGCAAGCATTTGGAGAGTGAACTGGCAGGTGGAAATCTCTGACATCTCTGTCTTCATACCTGTCTTTCTCTCTCTCTCTTACTGTTTGTGTTTCAAATAAAATGAACATAAACAAAAAAATTTCAAAATATATTTGACTGAAATAGAATAGATCAAAGCCAATCTATCTTTCCTTCAACAAATCATCTTGAATTAGTGCCCCAGCCCATAGGGGATGCCAGTATAACCAGTTCAAGTCCCAGCTGCTCCAATTCCAATCCTGGTCCCTACTAATGGCCTGGTAAGGCAGTAGAGGAGGGCCAAAGTTCATGGGCCTCTGCACCCACAGTGAGCCTACGGACAGATCTCTCTTTCTCTCTTTTGCTCTCTCTCTCGTTCTCTCTCCCCTTCTCTACCTTTAAATAAAGTAAAATATAATATTTTTTTAAAAAAATAAAACACATGGGGCTGGCAAGTTGGATCAACAGGCTAATCTTCTACCTGCAAACACTGGGATGCCATTTGAGCACTGGTTCACTTCCTGCCTGCTCTATTTCCCATTCAGCTCCTTGCAGCAGAGGATGGCTCAAAGACCTTGGGTTTCTGCACCATGTGGGAGACATGGAAGAAGGTCTTGGCTCCTGGCTCCAGACTGGCTCAGCTCTCACCATTTTGGTCATTTGGGGAGTGAACCAGCAAAAAAATAAAAAATAAAAGTCTTTCTTTGCCTTTACTTCTCTCTGTAAATCTCCCTTTTGAGTAAAAATAAATAAATCCTTTTAAAAAATAAAGCACACACATCTCATTGTGATTAGATTGCTTTTAAAATCTTTATCTTTTGGAACTATAGTGAAGCATCTATGGGATGTTGATGCTGCAAGGCAGAGGAGTGGCCTGCTGCATGTGGCAGCTGTTTAAACAGCACTTACATTGTATTAGGCATGCTAAAAGTCCAGAGATATGATTTAAAATATGCGGGCGATTGCACATTTATTTGCAGATGCTATGCCATTTTATGTCAGGGACTTGAACATCTGTGAATTTGGGTGTCTGGGAGAGGGGCATATCCTGAAATTCATTTCTTGTAGATTTGGACAGATGGCTGTATTTAAACTAAATGGTGTTTAGGTGATATATGTTCTTATTATTTTATATAGAAATTGTAAAATATATACAGTGATGATCTGATTCCTATGTAGTCATTGAATAGTTTTAACAATGATTAATTCATAAAAATTCTTTCACTTTAAAAAAATATTTTTAAAGATTTATTTTATTATTTTTTTTATTGGAAAGGCAGATATACAGAGAGGAGAGACAGAGAGGAAGATCTTCCGTCCGATGATTCACTCCCCAAGTGAGCGCAACGGCCGATACTATGCCGATCCGAAGCCAGGAGCCTCTTCCGGGTCTCCCACGCGGGTGCAGGTTCCCAAAGCTTTGGGCCGTCCTCGACTGCTTTCCCAGGCCACAGGCAGGGAGCTGGAAGGGAAGCGGGGCTGCCGGGATTAGAACCGGCGCCCATATGGGATCCCGGGCGTGCAAGGCGAGGACATTTAACCACTTGCGCCAATAAGCTATCATTTAAAATTTTAAATGAGGGGGCTCAGCGCAGTGGTCTAGCAGCTGAAGTCTTCACCTTGAATACACCAGGTCCCATATGGGCGCTGGTTCTAATCCCGGCGGCCCTGCTTCCCATCTACCTCCCTGCTTGTGGCCTGGGAAAGCAGTCAAGGACAGCCCAAAGCCCTGGGACCCTGTACCCGTGCGGGAGACCTGGAGGAAGTTCCTGGCTCCTGGCTCCTGGCTCCTCACTTCAGATTGGTTCAGCTCTGGCCATTGTAGCCAGTTGGGGGAGTGAATCATCGGACGGAAGATCTTCCTCTCTGTCTCTCCCCATCTCCGTATATCTGACTTTGATATAAAAATAAATGAATCTTTTTAAAATGAGTTTGAATTTAAAACATTTTTAAATAATTTAAAATAAATTCTTCTCCGTTATTTTGAGAGAATTACTGAGCCACCTGCAGCTCCATGTATTTGCCCCTGTTTCCTCCTCATGACACTTTTCCGACTGTGGACCACCACATCCTTTGGTTCAAAGCAAACAAAGCTTGCCATGTGAGCAGTGCCTGATTTCCAGCGCTAAGTGGTCATCAGCCAACACTTTCAGAAAAAGGTTGCAAACATTGTTATCTCCGAGGGCTCCTTGTTAGTAGTGAAGGGTTTGTGTGCATAGTTTGCTCCCGACCTCACGTCTGCATCAGATCTTTGATGCAGGAGCAGTTCTTCACATCTCTGACCTGACTCCGTCGCCTTCAGCTTTCTCCTTTACTAAGATGGTGCCCGTGGAGAAGTGGGTGCCTCAAGGATGTCCCCCATGCGTCTGCTTAGCTCCAAGGAGGCAAACTGAATTCCAGAGAAAGTAGAAAGAGTGGCTCTGTTGCTTTGAGGCAGTCCTCATGATTCAACTCAACTTTGAACCAGGAAAACTGGAGGAGGGTCAAGCCACTAACATCAGGCTAAAATGCACATTTCCAGCTCCCTGGCCTGAGGGACGGGTTTGGGGGAAAGCCAGGAGCTAGCAATAATCAGTCCAGGCTCACACCTTTGCTGAACTGCTAACATCTGGATCTCTTTCTTTGGTTAGATGGGGGAGTCAACCGAAGACATCGACCAAATGTTCAGCAATCTGCTGGGAGAAATGGACCTTCTGACCCAGGTAAACTGCCATTCTTACCTTGCAAATTGGGGTCAGAGGTGGGGCAGGTAGAGTGGGATTATAGAACTTAGTTTTAATATGATTAAAGAACTGCCTTTAAAAATAAGCAAAGAAATTGGAGATTAGCAATAGTATATATTGATGACGTATCTGTGACGGTGGTGGAGGAACAAAAGAACAAAAAATTATTCTTCTCTGATTTCAATTGATTTGACTCATTGGTCACTCTGTCAGGCCAGTGTTCATGTCACTATGGACAAACTTTTGGCATCAAGGAACTTTCCCCAAGCACATGTCCCTACAACAGATACCCTTGGGCAATTTTCCTGAGATAAGCTGGGAAAACAACAGCATCCTTAATTCAGAAATTTTTTTTTCACAAATCTTTGAGGAAATGCTACATTTTAAAGGTCCCCATGGACATTACTGTGGTCTGGTCACTCAGTTTATCGTTTATGGTGTTATAAGAATAACACCATATTTCAAAATAAAATAAAGATCTTAAATTTTCTCTCCCCCACCCCCCAAACAATGAATAGGCAAGATTTTGAAAGACTATTTAGTTTAGGGAGAAAAAAAAAAAACCTGTTTAACCTGTTTTAGTTAGCATCTGTCTTAGTTCCCCATAAAATTTAAAAATGTTCGAATCCTATAAAAGAAGACAGAAGAGGTTGGCATGGAGGTGGAACAAGTTAATTCTCCACCTGAGGCATTGGCATCCAAAAGTGTGTGCTGGTTCTGTCCTAGCTGCTCCACTTGCAATCCAGCTCCCAGCCGACAGCCTGGGAAAACAGCAGAAGATGGCCCAAGTCCTCGGGCCCCTGCATCCACATGGGAGACCTGGAGGAAGCTCCTGGCTTCAGACCAGCCCAGCTGTGGCTGTTGTGGCATCTGGGGAATGAACCAGCAGATAAAAGAGCTCTCTCTCTCTCTCCCTCTCTCCCTCTCTCTCCCTCTCTCTCTGTAACTCTATCTTTCAAGGAAAATAAATAAATCTTTCAAAAAAAGATGATACAAAGTTTGGCACCCTAGGCTCAAATGGATGAGTTCTATGTTAAAAGGAGAGGGCTGAAACCTGATAGTCACATTTCTAAGGATGAGGTTGTGTTTTTCCTGTTGGGGAGGTACTGAGTGGATGTAGGTGGTCTCTCTCCATGCATTGTACTCTCTGGCTGCTGCAGCCAGTGGGAGAGGTCACTGTTCCCATGAGAGTCTAGGACTTCTCATGGAGCCCCACATAAATATGGCCACTTGTGGCTGCATCTGCTGGCTTGCCTCCTCTACAAAGCTCTTGGGTTTTATTCTTTCTTTGTTGTCTAGTCTTAGATTTGCATGGCCAACACAGGCTCCCAGCAGGTAGGCTCGAAACTTTAAGGTACCAAAAAGGGACCACCTTGTCCTTGCATCAGTTTGCACACTGCCACCTTCAATGATTGGATATTTCCTCGGCCATTAGACAAGATGGCAACATGAGTGCAGAATGAGAGCAAAAAGGAATTGTTGGACACGCTAGAGCACCCACCTATTTCCCCAAAACCTAGTCAGTAAAACAAAAGAACCAAGCATCTGATCTTAGTTTTCCCAGGGTTCTAGCCAAACTGTCTTTCAGAGTTTGTAAATAAATGGTGAGAGGAAATTCTTCTTTGGGGAGAAACCCTAGCAAGTTCTTTGGAGAAAAGGAAAATGACTCCTGCACAGTTCTCTGCAGACACACGTGGAACCCTTGATTGCAAGGAGCTCAGTGGCAAGCAGTGTCCATGAGCGTCAACCACTCACCTGCACGGGGTTTGCCACATCTGTAGCCACTTGATTTATTAGTTTCTCAGCATTTATCATGAAAAGATTTTCCTTTTTTTAAGATTTATTTTTTTTATTGGAAAATAGAAAGAAGGAGAGACAGAAAAATATTCTGTCCATGGGTTCACTTCACAAGTGGCTGCAGTGACTGGAGCTGAGCTGATCGGAAGACAGGAGCCTTTTCCAGGTCCTCCATGTGGGAGCAGGGTCCCAAGGCCTTGGGTCATCCTCCACTGCTTTCCCAACCACAAGCAGGGAGCTGGATGGGAAGTGGAGCAGGGACTACAACTGGGGCCCATATGGCATCCCAGCGCCTGCAAGGCGAGGACATTAGCCACTAGGCTACTGTGGAAGGCCCATGAAGATTTTTTTAAAGATTTATTTATTTTTATTGCAAAGTCAGATATACCGAGAAGAGGAGAGACAGAGAGGAAGGTCATCCGACCGATGATTTACTCTGCAAGTAGCCACAATAGCCAAAGCTGTGCCGATCCGAAGCCAGGAGCCAGGAGCCAGGAACTTCCTCCAGGTCTCCCACGCAGATTCAGGATTCCAAGACTTTGGGCCGTCCTCGATTGCTTTCCCAGGCCACAAGCAGGGAGCTAGATGGGAAGCAGGGCCGCCGGGATTGCATCCAGCGCCCATATGGGATCCTGGCGTGTTCAAGGGCTTTAGCTGCTAGGCCACCATGCTGGGCCCTCATGAAGATTTTCTAAAATTTCACCTCAAGAAGTTAGAAGGTCTACCTTAATTTTTGCTTTAAAGCATCCAAATAGATACATGTGCATTTACATGCTCAGTATTTTGCCTGTGATTGTGTGTGTGCACAGGTGCCACATAAAATCCTTTCATTTCATTGAGAAGTAATGCCCACATCACTGCGTCCAGGCTCCTAGCAAATTTCTATGTTTAACGACCTCTTTCTGAAAATCCATTGTCTCCCCCGCAATTTCATATCACTAGAATTCCATTGTATCACAAATTTACTCTATTAATGTTTTTGTTAGAGCACCCCCTCTAGTGCCATGAAATGGCAGAACAGATTATATTCCAGAGAAAAATGAGTTGGCTTCCCTCATTGTGATGTGGACTTCAATGTTTTGACTTGGAAACAACCACAGATAGTCAAGTTCATTGTGCTTTCTTTCCCAAAGTTTTCTGCTCAGGTGTTTCTTCCATGAAATTCCCCCTTTCCGGGCAACTTTTGAATGTCTGTCCTGTTTCTAAAAACCAATTTGGGGACTGTAGTCACTTTTCCTTACAATTATTTTTGACTACCAATGGATAGGATTCATTTTTGAGATGCTTCTGGATTATTGGTGGCAGTGGCTGGGTGTTCCTACTTGAAGCTAAGCATGTATCAATTTATTTTCAAATACCTAACCATTGGTTTCCTTCAAGATTTTTTAAAATGAACAAGGGAGGGCCTGGCACAGTGGCCTAGCAGCTAAAGTCCTCGCTTTGCATGTGCCAGGATCCCACATGGGTGCCAGTTCTAATCCCAGCAGCCCCACTTCCCATCCACCTCCCTGCTTGTGGCCTGGGAAAGCACTAGAGGACTGTTCAAATCCTTGGGACCCTGCACCCGTGTGGGAGACCAGAAAGAGGATCCAGGCTCCTGGCTCCTGGCTTTGAAGCAGCACAGCTCTGGCCATTGCAGCCACTTGGGGAGTGAATCAATGGACAGAAGATCTTCCTCTCTGTCTCTCCTCCTCTCTGTATATCTGCCTTTCCTATAAAAATAAATAAATCTTTTAAAAAAATGAATAGAGGCATTAGTTATCAAATCAGCATCAGGAATGTATACATTATCATAAAAACATTCATGCTTAAGAAGGGGTGAAGAAGTCATTTCTCAAATTATAGACAAAAGCATTATTGACGATGCAATGTTATAAATATTATATGACTTTGAATATTTTCATATAATAATGCACTCCCAAGTTTCTAAGAGAATGCTGTTTGTTAACTTAGGAATGTATTCTGCTTACTAATTTCTTTTTTTAACAAGAGGTCATTAGTTATAGTAATAGAGAACATTTGACTCTGTAATGGCAGATTGCCTGATATCATTTTTCTCCTCCAAGTGACCAAATATTTCTCTCCTATATTATCATTACTTATGTCCTAACAGAAGTGTAGCTATCATACACTCTTGTTACAGGAAACTCTATTATTGATCAAAATCAACTGAACAATCTCATTTTCAATTATTTTTGCTTGACAAATTCCTGTTAAAGATATTCCTTCCAGAACTTAGAAGTTGTGATTTTCTATTGAGAAAAAAAAATCACAATAGACACTTCTAAGTTTTGAAAGAACATAATTAGGCAAAATGTATAAATGATAACAATGTTTTAATTTGTTGATTTAAAGGTACCACACAAATGTTTATGTCCTGAATAACTGTGGGGTGGGGTTGTCTATTTTCACAGAGTTTAGGAGTGGACACTCTCCCTCCTCCTGATCCTAAGCCAGCCAGAACGGAATTCAACTACAGTGTGGGTTTCAAAGATCTCAATGGTAAGCACAGTAACGAATTGTCTTCAGCACTTCAATGATTGTGAGACTGCATTCTGTACGGAGCAGGAGTGGCCATCTGCAGCTTAGACGTTAAGATGCCCAATCCCGCATCTGAGTGTCCAATTCAAGTTCCAACTCCAGCTCTTGCTAACACAGACTCTGCGAGGCATTCAGTGACTTGGATTGAATTTGGAGTTCCTGGCTTCAGCTGGGCTCAGCCTTGGCTGTTGTTCACTTCCCAAACAAACTGGTGGATGGGCACTTTCTCGGTCTCTCTGACTCTCAAATATATATATATATGTATAGACATAATCTGTTTAAATATGGATGAAATAATCATTTGAAGACAAAATTAAAGGCATCCAGACATTACGATCTGTATCACTGTTAAAATCCTAGATGTTTAGATTGTTTTTCATTGTGTCTGGATTGAAGAGAGTCAAGAAGACCTCTTAGCCTACGGGGGAAGAGATCATCATACGGGGGGAGGAGCCTCAAAGCTGTCTTATTTTTTGAGGAAGTAAGAGGAATTTTTTTCTTGTTAGTCAGCCCATTAGGCAGTCAAGAGTGGCGTGTGAAAATATCAACAAGGAGGTTTTCCCTCAAGAATGAGAATTAGCTGGCTATGCCACCATGATTGATAAAAAAGCAGAGTGAGTGCTCTAATATTTTACTTAGAATATAATGTACTTTTATTTAGATATAATGGTTGTCCCTCAAAAATTCATAGAAAGATATATATTATCTTAAAAAATGGATGGGCTTTTAAAATGTTTTGCAGTCCAAGAAACGAAACTTGTAATTCCATTCTCCATGAACTTTCTGCAACTCTCTATACTTGTGTATCATTTGCGCCTTTTAGCCTTTTCAATTTCCCTGGATTATCACTTCACTGTTGCTCTTCTGACATGGAGCAAAGATCTTCTTCCTACGTGCTAGTCAAATAACAGTAAGTCTGACTGCTAACATATGGATGAGACTTCAGCACAATCCTTGACAGAGGTTTGCCAAACATTTGCAGTACCTACTCAAAGTGTGAAAAGTCCAACACACAACAGAAGCCAACTTTCAGAAATCCAGGATTGCTTTGTTTCTGTCATTTTCAGTGATTTAGGGACCCACGGTCACCATCTTGGTGGATCATGACTTGCCTCTGCCAATGATCCGTCTCCTGTACTCCTCTCCCTTTGCCATCATGTCTGTCAAGTTGGCAACGTCCATGAACTTACCAATGCACGTTGTAAACTGACAACGCTAAATAACTTCACACATACACATATAAAAAACACAGTTAACCACGCCCCACTCATACTAGTGAGCATTTTTTCATCACTTTGGTTAAGATTAAACTTCATCAATACTTCAGTTCAACTGTACTTTGCCTGACTCAGTACCCAACATGGAAAAAGTACTGAAAATAATAACAAAGAAAACTAGCCATACAGACATAATCGTATACCTATATTTAAATATTTTATCTGTATTAATTCACCCAGGGGACTTTTATATTTTCACAAGCGGTTTAATCACTTGCTGTAAAAATTAATACAAGTAGCATTACTGAAATCCTGGTCCTAGAATTTTTATAATGAATTTCCGCATCAAATAGCAAGCAATGTTTTTGTTAGGAACTTAACAGGCCTTATTAGTTCCATACATATGTTCAAGGAAACAGTTTTAAAGCATTTTAATGAATTCCATGATTAAAAACTTCATGGAAAGAGGTCTTAGTGGAAAATAGCTGCTTGTTACACATTTAGGAAATGTAAACCGTACCCAGTGCTACAGACTGGAGCTACAGGCATAAACACCATGTGGTGTTTATAATTGTGGATGTTTACCAAGACTCATTTCGCCAAGTTTTCTGTGTGCTACTTACCACTCTGGCCACGTTTCCCTGGTCCCATTTCCTCATGTTGGATTATCTGACAGTCCTCTCTCCCGGGAGAAGGTGTTTTCATCTGCCCATCTATTTTCTCCTGTTCTCCCCACCCATGGAGGGCCTGGCCAGCCATGGCTGCACTCCCACTGCCCAGTTCCTGCACACCAGTCACTCTGCCTTCTGAGCCACCACAATCAGCTCACGCTAGGAAGAAAGCCGAAGTTGTCAAAATCTTAACCATTTAATCCCATTAGAGAGATAGAGTCATTCCTTATTCCTTCTAAGGAATAAGGCATTTGTATCCATCTAAAAGCATTTATATCCACGGTTCTCTTTCTGCCTCTGCAATGGCTTGGGTTGAACGCTCCTTCCATTGCTCTCCAAAATCCCCCTGCCCTGCCTCCCAACACAGTTAGATCTTACCCCGGAATATTCAAAAATTCCCCCACGGAGACATCCGTGCCTGGGTTTGCACTGGACTCGACGGCTGTTGTCTGAGAGATGTTCCAGCGTGACCAACACGTTAGCCTTTCTTCCCTTCCTGTTAGGCATTTGCTTGAAGCACTCCGTAAACACAGCGGTCATCGCTGGAGGACATCCCTAGGCTGGGGCATGCGTGCTTGAGTAACACTGTTCTCAGCTTTCCCCTGGTATCATAACAGATCCAAATGGTCCCCCTTGTCCACACAGCACCCTTTAAAATCATCTTTTAGCAGTAAAGAAATAAAACTTTAAAATGGTCTCCTAGGTCAGGTGTTTGGTCCACAGTAGCCTGCTACATTCCGTTCAGAGGGCCCGGGATTAGCCCCAGTTCCACTCCCAGTTCCAGCTTCCTGCTAATGCAGTAGGTGACAGCTCAAGTGCTAGGGTCCCTGCCTCTTGTTGGGGAGACCTGGGAGAATTCTGAGATCTCAGCATTGAGCTAGCCCTGTCCCAGTCATTGGGGGCATTTAGGCAGGGAACCAGTGGATAGAAGATCTCTGTCTGTCTCTACTTCTCTGCCTTTGAAATAAATAAAAACTAAATGATATTCTTTTAAAATAAAAACTATGTTATTTTTTTTAAATTGTCTTGTGTCTGTTTTTGCACGATCAGACTTAGGTTCTGTCACTCATGTACTGTCTCCCCCCGCCAGAGTCCTTAAATGCACTAGAAGACCAAGATCTAGATGCCCTCATGGCCGACCTGGTAGCCGACATCCAAGAAGCCGAGCAGAAAACAATCCAAGCACAAAAACAGTCCTCACAAGGTCCCCATCCTTCACCCTCCTCAGCGGCGCCGAGCTTCGGGGGCGCTGCCTCTCATGGTCATGGAGCAGTTGTCACCATGACCGCCGCCAGCCGCAGTGACTATGAGGATGATCTACCTCCGCCCCCAGCTGATCCTGTGTTAGACCTACCACTGCCGCCACCCCCTCCAGAACCCCTCTCTCCAGTAAGTGAGTGGGGCCAGAGCCGGAAGAACCGTCTGCCTCCGCTGCCTATCTGCTTGCTTTCTCACATGGTCATGGCCTTCCTTCGTGTGGATGCCTGGGACCTTGAGATGCTAACAACCAGAGAGTCCCCCACCCCAACCCCGTATGTTTGTTGTAAAGGAAGAACACTCAAAAAAGAAAGAAGAAGAAGGCCTGGGTGTGAGCAAAGAGCCAGTGTTGAGGGGTGGGATTTAGGAAGGAAGGGCTCAGTGGTTAAGATGATGCCTGCAGGGTATGAAGGGCAGAAGGGAGCCTGGCACCATGGCTCATTGGCTAAATCGTTGCCTTACAAGCACTGGGAGCCCATGGGGCGCCAGTCCATGTCCCAGCTGCTCCACTTCCCATCTAGCTCCCTGCTTGTGATCTGGGAAAGCAGTCAAGATGGCCCAAAGACTTAAGGCCCTGCACCCGTGTGGGAGACCTGGAGGAAGCTCCTGGCTTCTGGCTTCTTTAGCCATTGTGGCTACTTGGGGAGTGAACCAATGGACAGAAGATCTTTTTGTCTGTCTCTGCTTCTCTCTGTAAATCTGCTTCTCTAATAAAAACAAGTCTTAAAAAAAAAAAAAAGATGCTGCCTGCAGCATTCACATCCTTTATCCAAATTTCTGAGTTTAACTACCACAAGTAGCGGTCCACTTCTTATCCCAGCTTCCGTGATACTGTGTATGCCGAGGGGCTCAAGGACTTGGAGTTCCTCTATCCTCCTGGGGGATACACTATGCTGTTGGCTGTTGGCTCTGGGCCTAGCTGTAGGTGACATTTGGGGAATAAACCAACAGACGGTAATTCTCTCTCTTCCTCACCCTCTCTTTCTTTCAGAGTTTTCCTAAAACATATCAGGACCATATTCAGAATTAATTATAGTCTGGTTAAAAACCGTACTCATATTTGTTTGCAAATTCTCCTCGCTTTTACCTAAACTTCTAGAAAAGCCTTCTTCACTTTGTATGAACTGTGGAGCTGATTTATGTGTTTTCATGTCCTTGGTCCCAGCCCAATACCTAAAGGACATATGGCCTCCCTTACACATTTTCCAAATTGGATTGACTGGAGTTTGGTTGAATTTGGCAACCCTATCCAGGAGGGCAGAGACCAAGCTCACCGGTAATGTCACAGTTGGGGGTTGGGGATGTGAAGCTGACAGTGAGGAATGCCTGATTTCAACAAATCCCTGACCATTGGAAACAGCAGTTGTAAAGTTTATGTTGTCATGATTTGAATCATAACTAATGGTAAATCTCTCGTAAAAGTAAAGCAAATATTTCTACAGATTTTTCTTAGAATGAGCCATTCAAACAACTGTTTTACTGTAGGAACCCAGCTCCACTCCCTGTGGCTTCCCCATTTGTTGATTCTGCATAATAATAATAATCAGGATTCATCCACAGAGTCCTCAGGTTTATACCATATTGCCTAAAGGCTAGACCGCGTCTTGGGAATGCACGAATTTTAAAACTACCTTGTTGTTTTACAGGAAGAGGAAGAAGCCCGGGCCAAAGCAGATAAAATTAAGCTGGCCCTGGAAAAACTGAAGGAAGCCAAAGTTAAGAAGGTAAGCTGTCACAGCGGTGCTATTCATGTTCCCCAAAATATGGGATCCAGCAGGTTGTCTATGTGAGCTGAGGGCATTAAGAAGCTGTGAAGTGCACACACACACACACACACACACACACACACACACAGAGGAATAGTATTCAGCTATGTCTTTAAAAAGTGAGGTTCCATCATTTACAGCAAAGTGGCCAGAACCAGAGGACATCATGTTGAATAAGTCTGACACAGAAAGACAAGCACTGTTTGCTTCTCTTTATGTGTGGGAAAATAAGAAAGAGAGAGAGGCAGAAAGGGAGGAAGAAGTGCCCATGTGTTTCAGTTATGCTGCAGATAGTGCTTGTCAAACTTTGTTTTCAATCTTTTGTGGGGCCCGGCGCGATGGCGCAGTGATTAAGGTCCTTGCCTTGCATACCCGGGATCCCATATGGGCACCGGTTCTAATCCCGGCGGCCCTGCTTCCCATCCAGCTCCCTGCCTGTGGCCCGGGAAAGCAGTCGAGGACGACCCAAAGCTTTGGGACCCTGCACCCGCGTGGGAGACCCGGAAGAGGCTCCTGGCTTGGGACCAGCATAGCATCGGCTGTTGCGGCCACCTGGGGAGTGAATCATCAGACAGAAGATCTTCCTCTCTGTCTCTCCTCTCTGTATATCCTCCTTTCCAATAAAAAATAAAATAAATCTTTTTTAAGAATCTTTTGTGAATACATTGATAGAAATTACGTGCTGCTGTAGCTTTCATAATCTATTTTCAAGTGTACTTCATGTGAGTGAAGTTGAACATCTTTTCTCTTGATTATTGTATATAATCCGTACATTTTCCTGCTGAATTACGGCCTTCTTACTTTTCATTGTGTAGTAAATGTAGCCAAAAGGCCTTTCACTGTAATGTAAAAGCAGATAGGTCATCTCAAAAAATAATGAATGAAATATCTTTTTTAAAAAGAAAAAACAAGAATATGAATTCTGGAACTACAATAATGGGCCCATTTTAGCTATTCACCTGAAGGAGTTTAATTAATTTCTCTGCACCTCAATTTTGCATCTGTTGAAAAGAAAATTAAAGTGTGATGCTGGTGCTGTGGTATAGTAGGTTAAGCCTCCTTCTGCGGTGCTGGCATCCCAGATGGGCACCAATTGGGATCTCAGCTGCTCCACTTCCCATCCAGCGCCCTGATTATGGTCAGAGAAAGCAGTGACAGATGACCCTGGTTCCTGGGCCCTGCTATCTACCTGAGCAGATGCAGAAGAAGCCTCAGGCTCCTATCTTTGAGCCAGCTAGCTCTAGCCATTGCAGCCACTGGGGAGTGACCAGCAAATGGAAAATCTCCCTCTGTCCTCTCTGTAAATCTTACTTTTAAACAAAAGTAAATAATCTTTTGTAAAAAGAATATTAAAATAGTAGCTAGAAACTATGAATCACTTTTGTATGGAGGAAATTAAATTTATGACATCTCTTTTTCTAAAAAGATTATTTGTTTATTTGAATAGCAAAGTTATGGAGGTGCAGAGAGAGAGATCTTCCACCTGCTAGTTTACTCCACAAATGGCCATAATGGCTGGTGTGGGGCCAGTCCAAAGCCAAGAATCAGAAGCTTCATCCGGGTCTCCCGTTTGGATGCAGAGGCCAAAGAACTCGTGCCATCTTTCACTGTTTTGCAGATGCGTTAGCAGGCAGCTGTATCAGAAGCAGAGTATCCAGAACTCGAGCTGGTGTCCATAGAGGATGCCAGCACCACATGGAATGGTTTTACTCCATGTGTCATCTTATACTTAACGGCCTTTCATGAAAATATTTTTTTCTTTTTATTGAAAGGTAGAGTTACAGAGAGAAGGAGAAACAGGAAGGAAGAGAGAGATCCTTCATCCACAGGTTCACTCCCCACATAGCCACAATGGTCAGAGCTGAGCCAATCTGAAGGCAGGAACTTCTGGGTATCCCACATGGGCACAGAGTCCAACGGGCTTGCTTCACCCTCCACTGCTTCCTCAGACCATAAACAGGGAGCTGGATGGGAAGTGGGACAGCTGGAACATGGACCAGCACCCATATGGGATCCTGGCACTTGAAGGGAGAGACTTAACCTACTATACCATGGCACTGGCCCCAAACTTCATTATTAATAAAATTAAAATGTTGAGTAACACTATCCAAATAATTGTTGCTTTTTCATTTTAGAGACAAAGATGGACCATTTATTTATTTCCTATATGGTATCTGTTGGCTCAGCTCCGGCCATTGCGGCCACTTGGGGGGTCAACCAGTGGATCTTTCTGTCTCTCCTCTCTGTAAACCCAACGTTCCAATAAAAATAAATAAATCTTTTAAAAAGTACATATAAAATATACCAAATCTTTTAAAACTATATATTTTTTAAAAAGGTGTATTTTTCATTGGCAAGGCAGAGTTACAGAGAGAGAGAGAGGGAAAGACATTCTGGGGTTCATTCCCTAAATGACCACCAGAGCTGGGGCTGTGCCAGGTCACAACCAGGAGCCAGCAGCCAGGAACTTCTTCCAGCTCTCCCACTTGGGTGCAGGATTCCAGAGCTTTGCGCCACCTTCTACTGCTTTTCCCAGGCACATTAAGAGGGAGCTAGCTGGGAAGTGAAGCAGCCAGGACTCAAACAGGTGCCCGTATGGGATGTTGGTATCCCAGGCAGAGGCTTAACACACTGTGCGACTATTTCAACCCCCCAGATGGAATTGTTTTAAATGGAATAAGAAGTCAATTAGATTGATCCTTGGCCTGCATGCTTCACAACAGCTTGCTTCTTGGTGTACATTTATTTCACTTTACCCCATCTCCCCTCCCCAAATGCGCTCTGCTGTGAACGCATCTCTCAGTAAGGCCACTCAGGAACATCTCAGTCACAGTGCCATTCCTGCACCTTCAAGAACCAATTGTGAATGAAGTGATGTATTTGGTCTGTTATACTCCAAGGTTGTATGAAATGAGACACAACTCCCACTGAGTAAACATATTTTCAAGGTACAAGCCTGGTTGGTTCGTGCCCTGGCTGCTCCACTTCTAGTCCAGCTCCCTGCTCACACACCTGGGAGAGCAACAGAAGATGGCCCACGTCCTCGGGAACCTGCACCCAGTGGGAATTCCAGGCTCTTGGCTTCAACCTGACACAGTCCCAGCTACTGCGGCCATTTGAGAAGTACATCAGTGGATAGGAGATTCTTTCTCCACTCTCACTGTTTTTCAAATAAATACTTAAATATTTAATTTTTTTTTGAAAAGGGTGTGGCTCTAAGTCTAGAAAGGCTCCAGTCTCCAGGATGGAATCAGAGCAAGTAGCATGGCAAAGCAAGATGCCAGCAGTTATTCAAGTCTGTCTACCTTTTGTCTCCCCAACGCAGCCTCTGATTGTTGAAGAAGTGCTTTGTTTTTTATTTGGCCTCTGGTTTTGTGAATCAGTTTGACCACTTTTGTATTCCTAGCAGCTCACACAGGTGTCCAACATGAAACTGAGTTTAGGAGAGAGTGAGTTCCCAGGACACGTTGTTCAGTTTGCAAAACCAGTGGCGACTGGAAACCTTCCTCTGCATGGGCTGCTGTAATTCCCAAAACTGACTGGCCTGTCTGTCCCCTTTATCACTCCAGCTCGTGGTCAAAGTGCACATGAATGATAACAGCACCAAGTCGCTGATGGTGGATGAACGGCAGCTGGCCCGGGATGTCCTGGACAACCTTTTTGAGAAAACTCACTGTGACTGTGGTGTGGACTGGTGTCTGTATGAGACATACCCGGAGCTACAGATCGGTGAGTTCCGGCCCAGGAATGGGCTGGATCCCCAAACTTGGGTGGGTTTTTTCCATATGATGACTTTGGTTTCTTTTCAAGAAGAGCTTGGTCCAAAGCTCTTGCCATATTCCCATCCATCTCTTCCCCATAGCAGGTGCAGAGCTTGCCTCTTCATTTCTTTGTAGTGACAAGGCATGGGTTGTGACAGGTGACCAGACCTTGGGAAATATAAGCATTACTATCGCTTTGACAGAATGATTCTTCTTGCCATGTGCTCTACAAACAGAGCTGTGCCTCCCATAATCGGGTACCTCTCAGCTCACCTCTCCTCAGAGACGACTTCCTTACAACATGCTGTGTTTACATGCTGTGTTCACATCTGTGTTTACTTCCCTGGCCCTCCTCCCTCACTGCTGCCTTCCATGAGTCAAAGTGGAAAATGCTTAGGCCCACTGAGCAAAAGGTGGTTTGTATAAATGGATGAAGTTGGTGCTGCAACCATAGTGTATCAGGATAATTCTTTGCCTCCATGTGCCAGCACCAGTTCATGTCCTGGCTGCTCCACTTCTGATCCAGCTCTCTGATTATGGCCTGAAAAGGCAGGAGAGATGACCCAGGTCCTTGAGCCTCTGTTCCTATGTGGGTTACCCGGAGGAGGCCCCTGGCTTCTGATTGGCCCAGCTTGGGCCATTGCAGCCATTTGGACATGAACCAGCAGATGGAAGATCTCTCCTCTCTCTTTCTCTCTCTCTAACTCTACTTTCAAATAAAAGTAAAATAACTAAAAAGAATGGATAAAATTAAAATTCAACAACTTTTTGAAAGCCAATTAAAATATTCTGAAGCATTGTATTATTTCTCATTCTTTTTTCTTAACTGTTTGTATTTTCATTTTATTTGAGAGACAGAGAGACTAAGGTAGACAGAGACAGATCTTCCATCCACTGGTTCACTCCCCAAACTTCCATACAAGCCAGCACCGGGACAAAGCAAAGCCAAGAGCCCAAGAACACAAACGTAGTTGTGTGGCAAGGACCCACAGACCTGAACCAAGGCCCCTTGCCTCCCAGGGTGCAGGTGAAAAGCAAGCTTGCGTTGGACACAGGGGCAGAACTTGAACCTGAGTATCCCAAGTAGCATCTTCTCCACTGGGCCACACCCTGGCACAATCTGTCTCATTCTTAAAGAACTCACAGAATAGCTGCTTTCTGGGAAGCTAACTGAAAGACACAGAATTCACTGTTTTAGAAGACTGGGGTAAATTTCTTTTTCAAAGGAAATGATGTACAGCAAATCTATGCTTTGAATTTGTCTTCAGTTTTATGATCAAGACCAAAAAAAAAAAATGAAAACCATCCTTTTAAGTTTGATCTGCATAGTCATTTTGCAGTGAGAGTTTTGACAAGCGATGTTCTAGAGTTCTCGTTGTGGATGTCACAGTTACAATGCTTTAGCCAATCCCTGCCACGTTGTACTCCTCACAGAGACAGTGGTGCCTTGGTATCTTCCACTTGTCACTGTTTAAAGTAAAATCTCCTGGCAGAACAAGCTGGAGGGCTGCATCCACCCATTGATAAGATATTTGCACGCCACTTCGGAGCATCCAGCTGAAGTTCTAGGCTCTGGCTCCCCATTGTATCTTCCTTCTAATTCAGACACTGGCATGCAGCAGTGACACCTCAGGTAGTAGGGTTCCCTTCCATCCACAGTGCAGAACTGGATGAGGCTTCTGGCTCCTGGCTTCAGTCCAGCCCAGTTCTGGCCATTACAAGCATCTGAGGAGCAAGCCAGTAGGTGGGAGTTCTTACCTGTCTTCTTCTTTCCCTCCCTCTCAAACTGCAAGAAATGGTATTATAGCTGATCATTTTTACTGCATTTTTAGTGGAAGCCACATTGAAGACAGATGACACTGAAAGATAAACACAATGGAGATGTTGCAGTGTGACATCATGTGGGAATTAAGAGTTTTAGACACCTTGATGAAAACATTGGGGTTTGAAACTATTAAGTTTGAACCTTGTGGTCTTAGGCCTAAGAGAATATGTTTCCCTATCTCACCAGAGAGGTTTTTTGAAGACCACGAAAATGTTGTTGAAGTCCTATCCGACTGGACAAGAGACACCGAAAACAAAGTACTGTTTTTGGAGAAAGAGGAAAAATACGCTGTGTTTAAGAACCCCCAGGTAAAATGGTTTGCACCTTGTAACTGTATGAAGTCTTGTGTGGTCGATTTTTTTTTAATGTCAAATGTGTACTAACCTCCCATTTGTTATCTCACCAAAGAGTGTTAACGTATGTCCTTCCTATCAACATAAACTCAGCCCACGCCTAGGAGCCCGCTGAAAGGCTCAGGGAGAAAAGAATCAGTATTATTTATTTGATCTCAGAATTCAGCTATATTTGGCCAGTGCTTGCCCCTATTTTTATGGCGTTCCATGAAAGTGGAAGAACCAGATGCACAGTGGTGCCTCCTGCTGTGAAGGTATTCTTTTCATGTTCTTATCTGGTGCCTGTTGATGCTCAGATACCTACAGGAAGCACCTGGGAAACATTTGGTTTCCTGCAGGTCCCTCCTACAGTCCGTCTACACACATATAAGACATTATACATTATATGTGGAAAAAATGCTTCTCTCAAGTCAAGTGTCCAAACATGTCACTGAGATGGCTTCTTCACATTGCAGCTTCCAGCACCTGGTACACTATGAGTTGTTACAGTTTTGTTTTTTGTTGTTGTTCTTTTTTTTTTTATAGAAGCATCTAGAATGTTAAAGATAGGATACATCCTTGGGTTATCCAAACACCTTTCCCCTTTCTCGAGGAGGAAAGTCAACATCTGGATCCCTAGGATGACACTCAGTAGACCTCGGAACAGCCCCAATACGAGAAAATGCTAACCGTTGTATCACACTATTTCCCAAGTTCTTCAAAAGGTTATGTTCAGCCAACCAGCAACAGAGCAGCTACCTAGCAGTGCTTGTAGTTGGCAGAGCAACATTTTCACCCTAGAGCTACTCTCAATCTCCTGTTTTCATGTCTGCATTACCGAGGGAGCCATCCATCTGACTACTACCAGGCATGAAGCTTAGTTCCATCTCACACACAGGCCATACGGAAGTGGGTAGATTTGCATAGAATGGCTCTGCCATCTGCCAAAGCAACTTCGTTCACAGGAGCACTTTCTGCCCATAGGAAAGGCAGAAAGAGAAAGTAAAACCAGAGGTTTGCTGACACCTGACACTGAACTATGAGAGAAGTTGAGAAATGCAGTATCTGAAGAACTAAACTTGGAGACATACAACCACTTCTCTCTGTACAACTCTTCCACAAGGCATCTCTCACACTGAGTCTACAAAAACATACCCAGGAGGATCACTGAGAGCAGGGAGGGATGGGTGGTTATGGATGGTGTCAGTGTTTAATGAATGAGTGCACAAGTCATAACAAGCAATTACAAAGTGGATGGAGGCCTGTCACTACACCCATGTGAGCAGGCTGTGGAGCCTTTGTTCTGCCAGTGGCCATCTGGAAACTGAATTATAGAGAACCTGCAAATGGTATTCACTCCAACAGACGTTTGCTTGGCTGGAGCAAACATTTGCATAGTATCCATTACTGGCATAACTTTGTGCTCCCCACGGAGGATGCACAGATAATCCTGGCCTCCAAGGAATTTGTAATCTAGCTGAAGAAAAAGATGAACAAAAAATAATCCAGCATAACTTGCAGGTTAAAGAGGGGAGCGGTGTAGGACAGAGAAGATGGATGGCACGTTCTTGAGATGAAGTCTGAGGGCACGAAACGTCTTTAGAAACCATCCCCTAGGTTATTCCTTGGGATGTTTTCTTTCATTGTTGAACTTGTGGGACTCTCAGCAAGGCTCAGACATCTGAATTCATCCTGGGCTCAGGCTCCGAGGCATTCATAAAGGCCAAAGAAGAAGGAAAAGGAGGAAGAGGAGGAGGAGGGGAGGAAGAAGAGGAAGAGGGGGGAAGAGGAAGAGGAGGAAGAAGAAATCGGATTGTTGCTCCTGTCATTGTGCCCTCAAACTTTCTTTGTGTTCAAGGACTATCCTTTTGTGGATGTGATGGAAAACTCCTGATAGAAACTGACGCCTCAATTCCCAAGAATGTCAAACCTAACGTCAAACCTAACAACTTATTTTCAGAGGTGTTTGCAACAAAGGCTACTTGTTAGATGGGGAGAATCAACTGATGGTCCATACGAAGAGAAATTGCTAGAAACAATGAGTGGCCACTTTTATCGATGTAATGGATACTCTAGGATAAAGTAAAAGCTTTTTGTGTGTTATCTTCCATCTTTACAACTATGAGGGTCAAAAGGGGGGGTTGTTACTCCTCTTCTGTGGTTGGAAGAAGATGGGGTCAAACACAGGCCTTGGCTGAATTTTATGGCTCTCATTGCAGACATTGATGAGCCATTCCCAGTAAGCTGACTCTTCCATTCGGACTCAGAATGAAATGGGTTGACATGGAGTTGTGGAAGTGCCTAGATTAGGTCAATGGAATACAGGTACAAGGATAGCCCCGCCGATGACATTAGCAGACCCTGAGAAGTTACTAGACTGGCTCCGTTTGTACATGATGAGAAGAGGCCCAGTCAGAATAAACCTAAGTGTATGATTCTGTGTTCAGAAATGCAGGCCAAGGCCCCACCAGCTCACCCTCCATGGAGAGGCAGGCACTAATGACCACATTACCTTGAAAAGGAATGATGCCCTCTAAGCCTTCAGGAAAGAAGGGTGCATGCTCCCATGGATCCACAGGTAGAGGTCCACATTCTCCTGGGAATCTGCGTTCACGACTTCACAGTGTGAAAGAGCTTCCCTGGCCCAGAGAATCCACTCACCTGGAAAATTAAGAAATTATACAAAAGCACCTCAATACTGCAATCTTCAGCTCTTAATAAGAGCCTTTAAGAAAGTCTTTCTTTTTGGAGGTAGAATTGAGGAAGAAGCAATAAAATGACTACAGAGGGAGACTTCGAACTCAATTATCAGAAACAATAAGCATTTTGGGGGGTATTAATGGTATGCACACATGTATGCAGGCACACTTACAAAGGGTAATTTCCCAAAGGTGGTTTCCCAGCACCATTTGGTCACAAAGGCCACCTGCTCACCATGGCATGCTGACAACACCCAACTTCAGCTTCTCCATTTGTTGAGTGGTGATGCCAATGTACTTCCTGTGTCAAAGGATTGTACCAGACACAAAAACCACCCAATAAAGGGTGAAGTTTTGTCTCAATGTAGAGTAGCAGCAGTCATCTAGCACACAGTTACAAATGTTAAACAATTTCCAAAGAGACAAGAGTTGATAAATCTCGTTAACATCATTAGGTGAGCAGAACTGCAGACACTTGGGAGATGCCTACACATGGAGATTGTCAGTGTGCAAATTAAGGCTCTCCCTGTCTCACCACATTATGGGCAGGTTGCATTTATAGTCAGAGAAAAGGAAGTGGCAGACTGAGACAACCCAATTGGTTGCAACTCCTGTCTGGCTTACGCAAACATGGCTTGTGATGGGCTGTAACTCAGCTCTTTGTTGCTGGACTATGTTGAGTCCTGTGTATCCACATCACCTGTAGTTCACTATGTACACAGAACCCTGAGGCCAGACCTCAAATAGGGACAAAAATCACTTGCCTTTAAGGAAAAAGAACAAACTCTCCTGGTGGAAAGTAGTGTCTTGGAGTGGTGGAGAGTTTGGGCAGTAGTGTCGGGTGGTTAGGGTTAAAATCCTGGCTCCGTCCACCAGCCACAGACCCTTGAACAAATTATTTTATTTCACCAAGCTTTTATTTTCTTGTCTGATAGAAATTCCCTGGATTATCATCCATGATGACCAGTGCTTACCCAAAAACTCATTACTCAGCATTACTTGAGTGTTATCATCACGCTAGAAATGGCACATTCCTGCAAACAAGCTAGCTCTAAGATGCCCCTCTGGCCTGGGATGCCCACACAAGGGATATCTTCATTCTCAGGATGGTGGCACAAAGGCGGGGTCTCAGGACCATTCAGGCAAGAAATCCCAAGAACCCAGGTTTGCAGACTGTGGGCCATGAGGAGGGAAGAGTGTGGAAGGGTAGGCCATTGGCTCCAGCCAGTGTATCTCTTTAGTCAGTTTCATTTTTCACTTGTTACCCGGCAAACAGCGGAGTGTTTAGGCAAGAGCATCAGTGCAGGAACTCTCAGAGAGTGGGGTTGAGGCAGGGATGTTGGGGCTAAAAACACAATACCCCAAAGGATGGCACCTTACTGTGCTAAAATGACAAGAAGGACCTCAGAAGCAGCACGTTTTCATGAGCACCTCTCACTCCTTTCTGTCTCACCCCGACAAGCAAGTCATGGAAACTAGACTCCTTCTCCCCAAAGCAAATCTTTCTGATCTCACTCACTGCCCCCCAAAGACCATCCTGTAACAATGATCATGCCCTAAACCCGGGGGTAGGAAGGTCATCCAGAAACAAGCAAGGCATCCGAACAAACCAGCCTGGCTGAGCCCTGTCCCACAACCACGTGGCCACCCTTAAATCAGATCCTTCTCTGACTGATCATGGGCACCACATGGGTTCATTTCTTTCACAAAACGTCGCATAAAAATAGACAACTTTGCCTGGATCTTAGGGTAGTCATTTCTAAACAATCCTGTGTCGGCTAGACCTTTGCCAAATAAAGCTCCAAGTTACAGGGAGACTGGGAATAAGTTTTAGTGATCTACTCAATAATAAATGTGCCATAGGATTGTTTCTCAACGATTTATAGATCATTATATCTGTAAATAATAAATATAGATCAAAATTTACCAAAGAAACTATTAGCATTCTCACCTGCCCTCCGAAAAATGATGAATTGGTAAGGTGATGGCTATGCCAATTAGCTTTGTTGAATCTTCCTGTAAGGGGCTCTTAGAGCAAATGTCACACTATACCCCATAAATAGGCACAATTATTACTTATCCACTAATTAGATGGATTTTTTAAAGATGTATTTACTATTTGAAAGGTGGAGTTAAAGAATTGGAGACAAAAAGTGAGAAAGAGAACATCCACTGACTGCTTCAACTCCCCAAATGGCAACAATGGCCAGAACTGTGCCAGGTTGAAGCCAAGAGCCAGGAGATTCTTCAGGGTCATCCACGTTTGTAGCAGGGACTCAACCACTTGGGTTGTCATCTGTTGCCTTTCCAGGCATGTTAGCTGAGTAGCCAAGACGCAAGTCCAGCGTTCTGATACGCGATGCAGGCATCCCGAGCAATGGCTTAATACACTGTACCAAAACAACCACTCCCATTGCCCCTAGTCTATAACATACCCTACGTCAGCATGTATTATTTGCCTACAGTTTGCTTGCTAACCTTCTGGCAAAAATACTTAGATATCAAAGTTCAATGTGTGTTTTTAAAAAATTATACTCTAAAAAATACCTGTTGGAATGGACACATTTCCCCAGGTCTTGCCCCAGCAATTCCAATTCAGTAGGCTGGTTTCAGAAACATGCATTTTTTGGAGAATCGAGGCATTGCATGGAGCATGCCTTGAGACACAATCCCATGGCATGAAGGGCATCTGTCTGAATTCAGAAAGGCCCAAAGTCCCTGTGCTCCTGAGGTGTTTTCCATCTGTGAGACGTTCTTAGGGGTGACTTTAGAGAACGCTTACCTTCAACACACAAAAGCCCTCAACACTTCACCTGGGACAGCTGCTCTCTGTGACACACCTCTGGTCCGTGTGGGAGCCTCAGCTGTCCTAATGATGTTAGAATCCGTTCTTGGATGCCCCTGATCCTTCGGAGGCTCGCGTGGTCCCTTTTCTGCCTTCCCGCAAATGTTCCACATTAATAGGGTCCAAAATCAAGGAACACAAACTTGACACTGTGGCTCAGTAGGGATGTTCCGAAAGTGTTCCCAGAAATGTCCTTCTACTCCTCTGTGGTCCTCGCCAAGGAGCAAAGCTTGTGTACACATGACTGTAGCAGGGACTGTAGAGCATCAGGGCAGTCCGACAAGGCATCTCTATGCACATGAACCCTGATCTCAGGCTTCCCCTGAGGAGCTCTGGCTCCTGTTGGACATGGATGTGGTTTCTACCTTCGCTCCTCTCACAGCCCCTTCCAGCCCGTGAGCATCCCAGCTCCTTGCGTCTCACCCCATGGGATTTCACAGTTCTGCACTGTCGTGTCCTTGGCCGATGTTTTCAATGTTTCCACACAGTTTGTACTCCCTGTGACTTCTGACCCGGTGATGCACTGGGTCCGAGACCCTGCAAGGGTCTAGTGTGAACATGAACCTTGTGCTAACCTGATCTTTCCCATTTTGTGTAGAATTTCTACCTGAATAACAGAGGGAAAAAAGAAAGCAAGGAGAGCCAGGAGAAAATGAATGCCAAGAACAAGGAGTCCTTGTTGGAGGTAAGCTTCATTCTGCAGAGTGAACAGAGAAGGGTGGGTACTCTGTAAATTATTTACTGTGCAGAGCCATGGGGAATTCTGCATCAGGCACTAAAATGTTAACTTGAGGTTCGAACTCAAGTTATTGCTAAACCGTACCTACTTAAATTATTCAAATGTTTTTTCGTGGATTGTAAAAAATATGGTTTTAGACTATGTATTTTGTTTTTCATAATGTTGGATGAAGAATTCATTTTTTAACTTTTTATTAAGATTTCTTTTATGTTCTTCTAAAAGGCAGATTTACAAAGAACAGAGAGAGAAGATCTTCCATCTGCTGGTTTACTACCTAAATGGCTGCAACAGCCAGAGCTGAGCTGATCTAAAGCTAGGAGCCAGGAGCTTCCTCCAGGCCTCCCATGTGGATGTAGGGGCCCACAGACTGGAGTCATCCTTCATTGCTTTCCCAGGCCGTAAGCAGGGAGCTGGATGGGAAGTGGAGCAGTCAGGACACAAACTGGTGCCCATATAGAGTGCTGGCACCACAGAGTGGAGGATTAGCCTGTTCATCCATGACACCAGCTCCCCTTTCTTAATTAAAAAATATATATATTTTTTCATCTGCTTGACAGAGTGACACAGAGAATGAGACAGAGGAACTGAAGCAGAGCCTGGAGTTCTTTCCGGGTTTCCTACATGGAGTGTCCCAAGAACTTGCGCCAGCATTGCTACCTCCCGGGATGTGTGAGCTGGGACTCTATCAGAAGCAGAATAGCCAAGGTTGGAACCTTAAGTCTGATACAAGATGTTGGTAGTTAACCTGCTGTGCACAAATGCTGGCCCCAAATTAGTAATTCTTTCCTTGTAAAACTCAATCCTTGGGCCTGGCACAGCAGCCTAGCGGCTGAAGTCCTCGCCTTGAATGCACCAGGATCCCATATGGGCGCCAGTTCTAATCCTAGCAGCTCCACTTCCCATCCAGCTCTCTGCTTGTGGCCTGGGAAAGCAGTCGAGGACGGCCCAAAGCCCTGGGACCCTGCACCCATGTGGGAGACCTAGAGGAAGTTTCTGGTTCCTGGCCTTGGATCAGCGCAGCACCGGCCATTCAGTTCACTTGGGGAGTAAATCATTGGACGGAAGATCTTCCTCTCTGTCTTTCCTCCTTTCTGTATATCTGACTTTATAATGAAAATAACATAAATCTTTAAAAAAAAAAACTCAATCCTTATAAGATTTACCTCCTAGCATTCCATCACTTAAGTCCTGCACGGGAGGCAGATACAAGAGTTTTTAAATCATCTTCAAAGTGGTTTTTTAAAAATTTTTACATGTATTTTCACTCTGAAAGACTGACAGAAAGAGAAAGATCTCGCATGCACTGGTTTACTCCTTCAAATGACCCCCAACAGCCACAGTTAAGCCAGGGCAAAGGCAAGAGCCTTAAATTCAACCCAGGTTTTTTCCACAAGTAGCAGGACCTGCTGCATCCAGGGTGCACCTGCGCAGGAAGTAGGAGATGAAGCTGGTTATCCAAAACTGCATCAAGCATCCTAAGCAGCTGTTTAACTGCTGTACTAAATGCTGTCCCTTAAAGTGAGTGCTAAGAGGCTTCTAAGAACCAGTGGCATTGTACAGTAGGCTAGCCTCTGCCTGAGTACCAGCATCCTATACGGGCTTTCATTTGAGTCCTGGCTGGTCCACTTTCCATCCAGCTCCATGCTAATGTGCCTGGAAAAGCAGCAGAAGAGAGAGCTCAAGTGTTTAAGTCCCTGCACTCAGGTGGGAGAGCCGGAAGAAGCTCTCAACTCCCGATTTCAGACCTGCCCACCTCCAGCTCTTGTGGCCACTTGGGGAGTATACCAGAAGACAGGATATCTGTGTGTGTGTGTGTGTGTGTGTGTGTGTGTGTGCCACTCTCTGCAACTCTCCCTTTCCAATAACATTTGGTGGGGAGGCTGAGACTTGGCATTAGAAACCTGAGTGATTCAGCTCGGCTCCCTGCCACATCCTGTGTTGATGGGTGAGTCCTGACCCCGTGGAAGCCTCAGTTGCTCCATTCCGGTGGGTCCTTGTGGCAATTCGGGGGAAGTGATGACTCAGTGTGCTGGGTACTCTACAGAGTACCCAGAGAGATCAATTATGGGAGAGGGTTCCAGAAGCCATAGCTGTCAGCTGATTGTTTTTTCCTGTAAAATGGGTTGTTAGTTAATATTACCCCCCCCCCCTTTTTTTTTAAAGAGAAAGAACTGGGATAGAATGGCCCAAGGTACAGGACTCAGTAGCCAAAGACCCCAAGGTCTGAGTCAGGGCACTGATTCTTTTTGTTTATTTAGATTTCTTGAGAAGCTGAGAGATGTAGAGAGATAGATCATTGCTTTTCACTAGTTCAGTACCACCACCCCCAGATGCCTGCCACAGCCAGGGCTGAACTGGGTTCGATCAGAATTAGTTCCAACTCAATCCAGGTTTCCTATTGCAGGTGCAAGGGCCCCAAAACTTCAGTCATGATCTGCTGGGTCCGAGTGGAAGGAAGCTGGAATGGAGAGTCAGATCCGTGAATCAAAGCATTCAGGGCCCTGAGAGATGTGGTTGTTCTAACCCGTAGGCCAACCCCCCTCGTTGCATAGGCAGAAGGCAAACACACGCATACATATTCAACCTGTGCTACGGCCAAAATTGACTTTCTGTTCAAAGCGTAAAGTGACAGTTGATGTCAATGTGAACTAGAGCGTGTGTCTTGGACGCCTGGCACTGCACGTGTGTTTCATGTCAGCTGCATATCGATTTCAGGAAAGCTTCTGCGGAACGTCTGTGATTGTTCCGGAGCTCGAAGGAGCTCTGTATCTGAAGGAAGACGGGAAGAAGTCCTGGAAACGGCGCTATTTTCTCCTGCGGGCTTCTGGGATTTACTACGTGCCCAAAGGGAAGACTAAGGTCAGAATAAAAACAAAACAAAAACCACTTTGGCCATCAGCCACTCGAGGAGAGTCCTTGGGTGGCCAAGGATGTGCACTTTGCATGTCAGTGTCTGTATGGGACAGAATGGCCGCCATCCTGCGGCATTCTTTTCATCACTCGAGAAGGTTAAAAACTTTGACCAATTGTAAAGTTTCAGCAACGCTAACGAAAGGCTTTTCTCAGGATTATTTTGTCCCTGCATGTTTCTGATTCTAAGGGACTATGTCCTCCCCTCTAATCTCCTCTCACTCGCCTGCCCTGCACTCATCAGGGACCATGGGGAGGGCTACAAGTCCTGATAAGATCTCGGTTGAGATTTTAGCCCTGATGGCGCTGCGTTGCTCCCAGTCTCCCCACCTCACCACAGCCATGTGGTTTAGACATCACTTAATGCGGGGACTTGAGAATGATCACCTCCAATCTACACGCACGTGATCCCCTTTTCTTCTTTGAGATGTCATTTTCACGCTCAGTCCGGCCGTGAGCTTTTTCCAACACCTTTCTGAACGACTCTTGGATTTCTGTTGTCTCCTTAAAATCTTAGACTCTTGCCTGGATCCGGGGTCAACAAATGCACTTCCCCTTAATGTCTATCCAGAGCCAAGGCGCCACCTAGTGGGCTCTTCGTGGATTGCAGGCGTCCTCGGGAACGGCCTAACTCCCCATCCTACGCAGGTGAAGTCACCTGGACAGCCAGGTGTGCTCACTGGGGAGGGAGACTGGTGTGTCTGTGGCAGGGCAGGTGGACTCCACGCCTGGGATTTGATCCAGGGCAGTCCCAGCCCTGCTCATTGTCTCCTATCCTCGCCTCTGTCTAATCAATGTGTGCCCATCTCTGCCATCTTCCAGGCTCACACCAGGGACATTAGAGTTGATCTATAAAGAATTCTTTTTACTTTGGAAATGCAATATCTTTTTCAGTGCAGACATAGAAGTCAACCGATAGCAAACAGCACACTGACTGAAAATCAAAAGTGATCCCAGTTGAATTAGACCCCCAAAAAAATACTTTCTCCCACTGTTTACATTGGGGGGAGCGAATCAATACATCAGGAAAAAGAATCAGACATGTCAGTATTGGCAAAGTAGAACACTCCAGATCTCAGTTCATTCAAATGTCTACCTGACAGTATAAGATGCTCAACTGAAAAATTAAAGCCAGAACAATAACAGCCAGTAACTCACTCTCCTTTCTCACCCAAACAAAAACAGATTGAAATGTGATGCCTAAAAATCCATGCATGGTAAAAACAAAAAAATGCAAAATATCTAGCAATAAACTTAACAAGAAATGTTCAAAACCTGTACACTGCAGAATACATGTGATTGCTATTACCTTTATTATAACTTATTATGATGATGATTTAACAAAGAAAATAAAGAGCTGAAGAGATAGAAATGTACCATGTGGCTGGATCAAAAAAAAAAAAAAACTAATTCCACCTTGATATCTTTTATAGCTTCAGTATAATCCTGAAATTTCAATCGGAATTTTTTTTTTACTTCAAGTACACAGACTAATTCTAAAATTAATCAGAAAGAGGTTTTCCAAAATAGACAGTCCTTTCCAAAAAAAGAATATACTGAAATAGGCCTTCTCTACCCAGAGGTCAAGACACAGGATAGAACACCAGTAGAAATATCTGGACGAGGCAAGAATTCCACTTTGAAAATTCAGAGGAAAGAGAGAAAGACAAAATAGAACACCATTGTGCAACGCAACATAGCAGTTCTGTCTTTGATAGCTTTTTAATGAGGTGAAGAAGCATTATAAAACACAACAGAGAAGAAAAAAAGAGCAGTGGAAGCAAGTTGAGACTGGAGCACTTTAGCCATGGAGGGGTGATCTCAGTGTCCATGGCAATGACCGCAACGCCAGCAAGAGAAGTGCAGGATGCTGGTGCTGATTTACTCGGCAGCCCGTGTACTGCTTGCTGTTCATCCGGAGGGTTTTTTCTTCTGCTACATATTAATGCCCTATTGTAAAATCCATCTTTGACTTAGAACAGTGAGATGCAAGAAAAAAAAAAAGTGGAATTCTGTCTAGGTGATCATCTTATCTGGGCTGCATTAAGAACGATGTCTCCCTGGTCCCATGGCAGGGGATGGAGGACAGAACAAATTAATAACTACTCCAACCGAGTGTTGGCAGTGAATATCTGGGCAGGCAGAGACTCTAAGGTGGACCAGAGCAGTCAGTGGATTCTGGAGAGATTTCATCGTGATTGGAGTGACAGGATTGACAGCAATTTAGGACTACTGAACTATCAAAACCTCTTGAGAACTTCATGGCCTCGGAAATTTCTATTTTTCTTCCTGTTGTTGATTTTGCATTGTGACTTTTCATTTAAGGGGATGTATGGTAATTGTGTAATGAAGACTATCATATCCAGATGCGAGGATATAATACAGTAAGCATCTCCACTTCCAGATCAAAGATGGACTCCCAATGAAACTGTTAAATATATCTTGAGAATAGGACGCTGGACTCTCTGCCATTGTCCGTACCCATAATGATGGACTTATGACTATTTTTGAAGAACTATACAATGGTAATAATATAGGGGAACTAGGTGGGGAAGAGAGGACATGGGTGGAGGCAAAGGAAATCCACAGGTCTGTGGAACTGTATCATAAAGCAGTAATAATGACAAAGAACAGTGTCTCAAGGTCAGGCCATCCTGACTGTGGGATAGCACAGGCACCCACAGCATCCACCGAGTCCAGATATGAGGCACGCAGTCCTCATCACTTCTTGTAGGGCTCGGGCTTGGAAGGCACTGCCGACACTGCAATGGCTGCTCTACAGAAGTGCCATCAAGAGCCACCTTGGAGAATGACTGACTGTCAGCCCCGCTTGTCTGTTTCCCTGTCTTGCAGACGTCTCGTGATCTCGCCTGCTTCATACAGTTTGAGAATGTCAACATTTACTACGGGACTCAGTGCAGAGCCAGGTACAAAGCACCCACCGACTATTGCTTTGTTTTAAAGGTATGTTGGGTGACGTCCCTAGTTTGAATTCATAAGCCATGTGAGTTGCTATGTTCTTTCATGGAAGAAAGTGTTGTGTGTTGGGTAGCTAACCAGGAGTGTGGCATCATCACATTTTTGTTTGTGAACAAAATAGGAAAAAGCAAAGTGTTTGTATCTATTTGAGTCATGTCTCTCAGTGACTGCCATCTCTGCTTAAAAATTGTATACATTTGGAAATGTATTGATTTGGAAGAGGGAAAGATCTTTGACCCACTGGTTTATTCCTCAAATGCTTTATTTAAGGCTCAGAGCCCAGAATTCAATGTGGATCGCTCCGTTGAGTGATAGAGACCCAAGCCCTAGAGCCATTGCCAGCTGCCTCCCAGAATGGGCATCAGCAGAAAGCTAGATGGGAAGCAGAATCACCAGGATTTGAACCAGGAATTCTGATAAGGTATATGGGTGTCTCTGGCAGCTTCCTAGACTGCCGCACTGGACATCCACTCCACGATGGGGATGTGGATGCAGAAAACAGGGCAGAACTGAGATTCTCATGCCCACTCAAGAGTTTGGGAGCAGGTCTTTGAGCCACAGCAGGAGTGACTTCTCTTCCCAGGCGTCAGTAGTTCCCCTGGATGTCCCCAGGAGCAGCAATGCTGAGTCCCAGGGCACTGAACTCCAGCTTTGAAAAGCACTGTTGTAGCAGAGCCTGGTCTGCAGCAGAGACTCGGGCTCCCTTCAAGGGGAGAGAAGGCTCAGATGCAAACACCCCACAGAGCCTGGTGGATCTAGGCCCAGAGTCCTGTCCTAGCATGGCAGCATGTGTACTCCTTTCTTGATATTCAAATGTTTTATCAGGAACACAGAAAGATGATCTCCCATTCACTGGTCCATTCCCCCCAGATGCCCACAACACCTGGGGCTGGACTAGGCCAAAGCCAAGAGATTGGATCTCAGTCTAGGTCTCCCATGTGGGTGGCTGGGACCTAAGCACTCAGGCATCATCTACTGCCCGCAGGATGTGCAGTTGGTAGGAAATTGGACTCAAGAAGCCAAGCAGGGGGATGGACCAAGACATTGCAAAATGGCATTCCGGCCTCCGCAAAGGGCAGCTTAGCCCAATGCACTTGCTCCGTTGGTTTCAAACTCAATGTGACCCTAATGTCAGTCTGTGGAGTTGGTAAAAAAAAAAAAAAAAAAAAAAAAAAAAGACTAGAGTTGAGGTCCTGGCCTTATCTGTGAGTTCAGACACATGATTGAGACTCAAAGCCTCAGTGGCTTCATTTTCAAAGCAAAGAGATCCAGCCCTTCTTATGAGGATGATCAGAGAGGCTGCGTAGAACCATTGGTGCAATGTCTAGAAACATATCAGTACTCAACGCATGGTAGTTACCATTCCCACTCTGCAGGATCAGATAAATATTTTCCACCTAGGTGCCCCAGAATGGCAGCTAAGGAGCAATCTGATGGACCCTCAGAGCTTCTGACTTGGGAAGGCTGGGATCAGATGCAGGAATTCACACTTCTAGTCAGTTCTCAGGGATGACAAAGCCCTGGGCCCAGGCCCTTAGTCTGAGGAGGTGGATGGGTGTTACCTGCATCCAGCAAGGCTGCACATTCCCACAGGAACAAGCACCAGAAGCAGGATGCCCTGCCCTGCTTGTGTCCTCTCTAAGCTGCATGTTCCCACTCTGAACTTGCACTGCACCTGCTCTGCTGTGAATTCTTTGTCACAGATATCTGTCATCAGATGGGATGGGGCAGGGCAATAAACATTTTCCAAGAAAAGCTGTGGGTTTTGTTACGGAGTGAGCATTATGCCCCATCACCACCCTTCTCCTACCCCTAGGCTGACCCATTTTCTTCACACTCTTCTCATGGTGCAAAATTATATTCCTTAGTATTTTGAATTACTTGTTTTCTCCCTTTGCAGCATGTACATGCTGCAAAGATAGGGATTTTTTTTCTATTGTGTTCATGAATCAGATTCAATATTTGATACATTGTGGTTGCGTAACACTTATCTAATAGATAAATGGATGGATACAATGAATTGATAGATGGACAAGTGGACAGGTGAACAGATATATATGTGGGTGGGTGATTAGAGATATGAATGGGTGGACGGATGGACAGATGGATGAATAGATGAATATACAAGTGGAAGGATGGATGTTTGGATGGATGTTTGGATGGATGGATGTTTGGATGGATGGATGGATGGATGTTTGGATGGATGTTTGGATGGATGGATGGATGGATGGATGTTTGGATGGATGGATGGATGGATGGATGGATGTTTGGATGGATGGATGGATGGATGAATGGATGGATGGATGTTTGGATGGATGGATGTTTGGATGGATGGATGGATGGATGGATGGATGGATGGATGGATGGATGGATGTTTGGACTTATAGGTCCTCTGCTCATTTGTGTTCTTTGGAACTTCGTTCTATCATTAATGAAATTATCCATCACAGCAGCCCTGCCACGTTCAAGCTCTCTGTAAGGTTCTTTTTACACATACTTTCATTCAGTTCTTTCAGCAAATCTTCCAGATCATAGACATGGAAAAAGAAACTCAACTAGGTTCTGGAGCTAGGCTGACATCACCTATGCTTCCTAGGAACCTAACTGTGCTATCCTGCAAGGTCTCACTTCTTACGTTAAGCTTCAGAGTCTACCTTCTCTTAGTACTGCAGGTTCCTTGTAGCCTTCAGCTGATCCATCATCCCCTGGCCCAATGGGGCCCTTACACCAGAGCTGTTACTTGCTTCTAGACCTTGAGTCTGTTTTATGTTGAGCTCTTTTGGGAAATATTGGCAACTTTTCTCCTGCTTCCTGCTCATCTCAGTCTTCTACCTCACCCCCAAGCATTTTTTTTTTTCTTTAAAAAAAAAGATTTAGTAATGAATCAGCTGAGAGATTTAAAAGGCAGTGTGATAAAGACATGTCCCACACGCTCTCAGCTACCACAGGACTTGTGTAATTCATTCATTAGAGAATATTTCTTCACATTTCATTTGATTTAAAGCCTTGACCTGCATCAGTGAACACAACACAGACCTCAGGCTTTGTGTTGTTGGCAACCAGCAGGCTTGCCCAAAACCACTTCTGCTGGCAGACATGGTCATAAGTTTTCTCTTGAACAGTAACTTTTTCCAGTTCCAAGATCTCCCCAAATGGCCACCATGACAGGGTTCCTCACTGATGCAGGCAGTTGAGAAGCAAACCAATGGTTGAAAGTTCTCTTTCTCTCTCTGCTTTTCAAAATAAGCTAAGTTTTTTATTTCTTTAAAGATTTATTTTTATTTGAAAGGCAAAGTCACAAAGGATGAGAGACATCGAAACATTCCATCTACCAGATCACTCCCCAGATGAACACAGTAGCTGGAGCTGGGTCAGTCAGAAGCCAGGAACCAGAGGCTTCATCCAGATCTGCCACATGGATGCAGGAGCCCAAGGCTATGGGCCCCATTGCCTCTGCTTTCTGTCCACAAGCCATTCTGTTTAAGGAAATGATCACATTGTACATTTCAAGGAATAACGCGCTCTTAAGAAATGTCTTCTTCCACTGCGTAAATGTTTGCACGGATAGTTGCTTAGTGCGTTCCTTGCAAGCACGAGGAATTTCATCATCATCTCCTGGAAACTCAGCTTTCATGTGGCACATGTGTGAAACAGAAGCAAAAAGACAAAAAAAAAAAGAAAAGAAAAAGGCCCAAGAGGACAGTGTCAACTTTTTAAATGACCCAGAAATTGAGGGAGAAATATTTCTAACAACAACTATAAGCATTAGAAACAAGATGCTAGTTGTCAGTGTTAAGGCAGTGGTCTAAGCTGCCTCTGTTTACTTCAGGATGTGGGTTCAAGTCCTGGCTGCTCCATTTCCCACGACTCCTGCTGGGAAAGCAATGGAAGACGGCCTAAGTGTCACCTATGTGGGAGTCGAGGATAGAGCTGCTGGCTCCTAGCCTCAGCCTGGCCCAACCCTGGTTTTTGTGGCCATTTGCCAACTAGGAGTAGGAGGGGGGTGACCCAACATACGGAAGATCTCCCTTTTTCTGGCACTATGCCTTTCAAATAAATGTGTAAATAAATCTTTTAAAATAAAAATTTCAAGTGAAAAAATCCACTTAGCCATTTCCATGACAGTCAGGACAAAAGTAAAGTGGTTTTGGCATTGGTTTAGCTCTCAGAACTTTCACCTTGAAGGGAGCACATGCAGGCATTAGTGAGCTGTGATAGTCCACTGATAAGAGCTTAATATTTCTCATCCTTATGACTTTCATGCTTAAAATAGACCCAAGCTTAAGGGCCTCCAGAGGTAAAACTTCGAACATGCTGACATCCAACATCCAGATCGCTGAGATAACGTTTGTGAAAGTAAAATCCAACAGCCACCGGTGACTGGGTCAGCATTAAATGACAATGAATGATGAAATGTGAGGCAGGCATTCGAAGGTGTCTTCCGCCACCTGCTGGCCAGAATGGAAAACTGCAGCAACATCCTTGGGAAGTGTGTAGTGTGGTAGTTATCACTTCGGACATTCGCATCCATGTCAGAGCCTTAGCTCCTCCACTTCTCGTCCAGCTTCCTGTTAAGGCACACACTGGGGGGCAGCAGGTGATGGCTCAAGCACTTGGGTTTGGGCCGTGCACATGGAAGACCCCCAGGTGGAATTCCTGACTCCTGTCTTTGGTCTGCCTCAACCGAGTCCTGGCAGCTGTGGTTATTTGAAGAGTGAAGGAGAAGATGAAAGATCTCTGTCTCTCAAGTAAAATGATAAATAATTATTTTTGATCAGGCATCCACAAGGACCAAGTAGAAGCTGTGTCCAAGGGTAAGATTTGAAGGAGATAGAAATATGATAGACTTTCAAACATTCAAAATGCCAACGTGAGAAGGCAGTGCTTTGGTAGTGGGTAAAGCCGCCACCTTTGATGCCCGCATCCCATATGGGCGCCAATTCAAGTCCCAGCTGCTCTGCTTCTCATCTAGCTTCCTGCTAGTGCACCTAGGAAAGCAACAGAGGCTGGCCCAAGAGCTTGGGGCCCTTTCTGCTCTTCACTTCAGACTAACTCAGCTTTGGCCAAAATAACCATTTGGGGAATGAACCAGCAGATGGTTCTCTCTCTGTTTAAAAAAAAAAAAAAAAAAAAAAAAGCTTTTCCAATAAATAAGTAAATATCCTAAAATGTGCAGAAGTAATTGTTGATAATGCAGTACTTTGCACTCCAGTAGATAGGAGACGTGTTGAATCCTTTCAAGACCAAGCCGTTGGATAAAAGACTTTCTCTTCCTAATCCTCCAGTTGCTGCCTGTCATTTTGGCCACCATCTCAGTATGTGAGAATTTGTTATGTTGTTTTTTTTTAAAAAAAAAAAAGATTTATTTGTTTTTATTGGAAATGCAGATCCACAGAGAGAAAGAGATACAGAAAGAATCTCTTCCCAAATGGCCACAGCAGCCCAAGCTGAGCCAATTCGAAGCCAGGAGGCAGGAGCTTCTTCTGGGTCTCCCACAAGGAGGCAGGATCCCAAGGTTCAGGACTGTCCTCTACTGCTTTCCCAGGCCACAAGCAGGGAGCTGGATGGGAAGTAGAGCCGCCGAGACTAGAACCGGTGCCCATGTGGGATCCCAGTGCCTGAAGGGGAGGACGAAACAGTGGAGCCACTGCTCCAGGCCCTATGCTATTTTGTTTTAAAGAGAAATGATAAATGGTGCTTAGAGCTGCTATGGAGTTAAAGAGCTTTGTAAACTACTATCTTCAAAACTGTTTCTTTCCAGCATCCCCAGATCCAGAAGGAGTCTCAGTACATCAAGTACCTCTGCTGTGATGATGCACGAATTCTCAACCAGTGGGTCATGGGCATCAGGATTGCCAAGGTGAGTGCCCGTAGCTCTCACGTGAACCTGCCCGTGAGCTTCCCGACCTGGGTCTAGAGTTCTGGGACTCCGGGGGAGACACTGGACCCAGACATGATCTAGCTGTTATCTGCCTGTCATTGAGACAGGCGTGGGTGATGGCGAGACAAAGCACCTGGGGTTGACTTTGGCACTTGCCCCTTAAAGAAGACTTGCAAGATCCATGTGGCGTTGGGCGATGCAAAGAGTTGCAGGAAAGCAGACATGTGATCAGATGTGATGAGGGCTTGCTCTCGCCTCTGACGTGGTGCTGGCTGTATTGACTGCTAACTGGGAGAATTAGTTCACACTGGGAAGCATTTTTTTTTCTCAGTTTCTAATATTGGGAGTTGACTGCAGACCTGGACTTACATGGATTCCTTTCTTTCTTTGTGTGTCTGTTCCTTAGTACGGCAAGACACTCTACGACAACTATCAGCGGGCAGTGGCAAGGGCTGGGCTTGCCTCCCGGTGGACATCCATGGGGACCATCCCTGCAGCGACAGCCACCCAGCCTCCCACAGGTACCGCATGGAGGGGAGAGAGGTTCCCACACATGCTCAAGGCTCAATGCTCAAGCTCCAAAATTACCCAGAGGTGATTCACTGGTGATTTAGGAATCATGTGAAGGCACCTGCTTCCTGTATCAGAGTAGCTGGGTTTCCTGACTCCTGGTTCCAACTCCAGCTTCCTAATGCATACTCTGGGAGGTAACTGTGGTGCCTTGGGTATTCACATCCATGCTACACTTGTGGGAGGCCTGGATTAAATTGCAGGGTTTGAGGACAGTGACCCCCAAAAGATATGAGCAATCACTCTTTCTTTCTGCCTGTTGGGGGGAAAAATCTTTTAACATCTCCAGTGCTTTTTATAAAAATATAAGTTTGCAGGCGGCACTCAGAATATTTGTTGTCTCATGCTCCGATTCAACTCCACTTACCCACAGATCTATTTCCTTCTAATTCACCTTGACCCAAAGCTTTTGCTTTTTTTCTTAAAATGGTTGGTACAATGGTGCCAATCACGCATTTCAAGTGAGCTGGTTGGAAAGTGTTTCTCATCGAAGAGGACAGATACGATGCCTGCCCACGGCATCAACAGTGCCCAGGACATTGCCCCTCCCCAAGGACAGGATCCAGCCCTGGGGTTTTGCCATGGTGACATGATGTCTGGAGTCTTGTCCCCAGTCCTGGACACCACGTCTGAAGGGGACCATAACAGCATGTGTTTGCACTTTTAAGGAGAACAGGATACTGAAGGGTGGAGTGGCTAACTAGAAGCTAGTTCCTAAAAGTTGAGGAAAATGGAAGTTTATTTGGATGCACCAAGAAAAAAATGTGAAAAATCCATGAATTGCTGTCTTTATGATACATGTTTCTATCAACTTTGGGAAGGCCCCTTTATGTAGGCTGTTTCCAGTTCATATAACAACCTTGCTGCCTGTGGATTCTTCTTCCTACTCCACAGTTCAGGAAATTCAAGGTGGGAGAAGGGGCCCAGGATGTTCTAAGTGGTGAGCTCTGAATCAAACAGAGCCAGTCACACATGGGGTCCTTGAACCATTGTTTTCTGTGGTGGAAGCATTTGTACATCAAAGGTCGGGGTGCTTTGCTGCTTCACAGAGAATGCCCAGTTGGAAAGTATGATCTTAACAGTCAGGTGGATTTGCCTCAGCATGGAGAGACGGCATCATCGGATGTGTCACTACTCGCTGCTGTATGAACAGTGAATCCCTTCCTTGTGTTTTTGCTGCATTTTTAAATTGTTATTATTTATATCTTTGAAAGGCAGAGTTTTAGAGAGCAAGGGAGGTAAAGAAAGAGAAAAATCTTCAATCTACTGATTCACTCCCCAAATGACAGCCAGAACTAGGCTGATCAGAAGCCAAAAGCCAGGAGCAAGAAGCTTTCTCCCAATCTCGCATATGGGTGCAGAAACCAAAGGCCTAATGTCCTCTGCTTCACCTAGGCCATCAGCAGAGGCTAGGAAGTAGAGCAGCTGGGGTTCTAACCTACACCCAAATGAGATGCAGGCCCTGCAGACAAATGCTTTACCTGCTATGCCACTGTCGGCCCCTGCTGCGTTGCTTTCTTATCACAATTTGCAATTACCTTGTGTCGTCATTGACTTGCTTTTGGCCTGTGTTCCCCAGCACTGACAGCAATGGCTGACTGGTTGCAGGTGTACAGTTAGAATTCAAAGATGGTTGAAACAAAACAAAAACTGGGGGGAAGAGTGCGGGGGCGGGGAGCATCTCCAAGATGAAATCAAAGGGTGTCTGTGAACGCTCTTAACACTAAGTGCTCAAAAAATGCTTTATGTCTCCTCAGTTGCATTGGAGTCTTTAAAATCAATTTTTTTAAAGATTTATTTTATTTTTATTGGAAAGGAGGATATACAGAGAGGAGAGACAGAGAGGAAGATCTTCCGTCAGATGATTCACTCCCCAAGTGAGCGCAACGGCCGATGCTATGCCGATCCGAAGCCAGGAGCCTCTTCCGGGTCTCCCACGCAGGTGCAGGGTCCCAAAGCTTTGGGCTGTCCTCAACTGCCCTCCTGGGCCACAGGCAGGGAGCTGGAAGGGAAGAGGGGCCGCGGGGATTAGAACTGGCGCCCATATGGGATCCCGGGCGTGCAAGGCGAGGACCTTAACCACTGCGCCATCGCGCCAGGCCCTAAAATCAATTTTTGAAGGACGTCATTGCAACAGTTTAGGTGAGCTTACCACTGATTAAAAAGAAAATTGCAACTCCTGCTTTCAGCTTCCAGTTCATGCACATTCTAGGAGACTGTAGTGATTGCATCCTGTCTCCCACATGGGAGGCCTGGATTCAGTTTCCAACTCTTGGCTTCACCCTAGCACAGCTCAGCTGTTGTTTGGGGTTTGGGAAGTAAATCAGCAGATGGAATCTCTTGGCCTGTCTCGCCTACCCGCCCCTTCCTCCCTCCTTCCTTCCATCCAACCTGCCTAAATAAATTTTTTTCAAAGGAGGATGGGAACAAGGAGAGTGTTCTTGCACAAGATAGAAACACTTTACCTTGGTAAGCAGGAAACAGGGGTGTTGCCAGCAAGTCTGATTTACCGAAAATTCTTAGGCTGGGTCATAGGCAGGCACTGGCACTACTGAGAGCAAACGTGCCAAGTTTTTGAAAGTGACCCTACACTCTGGTTTATCCTCCGATCAGATAAATCTTTCACCTTTTACTGAAAGTGACCCTTACTGGAGAGCCACCCATTTATCGTTGCTTTGCTGGGCAGCGAAGGGGTACAGTCTCAACTTCCCATGTCGTTGGCACCAGCACCTGCTGTGTGAGATTTCAAACTCTACGGAGCCCCAATGGATTGGAAGCGAGTGAAGTTTCTTATTTGCACACATGTACAGACCAGGGCTGCACCCCAGTGTGGAGGACACGGCATCCTACAGCTCACCTCCTTCTAGGACTCATCACACACAACAGGCCAGGCTCTTGGACACTGCTTACGTGGCTGGCTTCTTAATGGCCTTTTTAAATTATCATTTGCTTTATTTTAATATTTCCTTCATTTTAACAGATCCACTGTGATTTACAGATGCAATTCTTCTTTGTATAAAATACTTATTTATTTACTTATTTAAATGTGAAAGGCAGATTTGTAGAGAGAAGAGAGAAAGTCTTCCATCATCTGTTTCACTCCCCAAATGATTGCAGTTGTTAGGGCTGGACCATACCACTACCAGGAGTCAGGAGTGTCTTCCAGGTCTCCCACATGAGTTCAGGGTCCAGAGGATTTGAGCTGCTTTCTCGAGCATGTTAGCAGGCAGCTGGATCAGCAGTGGAGCAGCTGGGATTCGAACAAGTAACCCATATGGGATGCTGGTGTTATAGCTGGAAGCTTAGCCTACTATGCCTCGGCACCCGTCCTGAGACACTGCGACATTTATGTGCCTCAAGGTACTCAAGGTCAGAGGGAGGGTCTCCTTGCTACATCATGACCTGTACAAAAGACATCACGTGCAGAGAGTGTGTGTTAGGGAGAAGGGAAGGAAATCTGTATTTTAGCAGGAATCTGCCCCTGCCTTAATAGGCACAAAGACACAGAACCCTCACGACCCGCCTTCACTGAGGACCCATCCACACCCCTGCTGCCCTGGCAGCTGAGGTTCTAATACGTGAACTGTGGCTGATTCATTCCAACCCCAGCAGGCACCTGTATCCTTCCAAGCAGCCCAGGATAAATCAATCCACCCATTCCTTCCCACTTCCCTCTCCCCCAAAAAAGATGTCATTGGGACCAGCACTCCCACTCCAACCCTGGCATTCCACATGGGCACCAGTTCATCTTCTGGCTGTTCCACTTCCATTCCAGCTCATTATCCATATTTAAGGACATGCTTTTTCCTGAACCATTTGGGAAGAGAAAGCACAGACCATGCTCCTTTAGCTCCTTAAAACTCCAGTCCATATTTCCTAAACACCAGGCTGTTCTCTTACTAAACCCAGAAGTGTTCGCAGAGTCAGGAAATGCTGCATCTGACAGACAGAACACTTGTATCCAGACCACAGCCCACCATCCAGCTTTGGCCATTGTCTCCAAATGCCCTGTGTGACCATGGCTGCTTCCTGGCATGGCTGCAGCCCAGGATCCTGCACTGGGGTTGGCCATGTTGTGTTTGTCAGTCCCCCTGCACCTTCCTGCATCTACCAAGATATTGACTTGGTGCAAAAGGCAGGGGCTGTTTACATGCAACCATGCACCCCACTTTTGGTTCCCTATGCTGTTTCCTCATACCTGGTTTCAGGTCTTGCAGTTGAAGTGGGAATATCCCATGGATGCTGGAGCATTCTTCAAAGGGTGCAATAATCAGAAATATCACCCTTTTGTCTGCCTGTATTGAAAACATTTGTTTGGAATCCTTGGATCAAATGCTGTCCTGCTTGTCTCCTTCATAGATTTTTGTTTCCATGTTATACTTTAAACAATGCAGAGAAATACTCTGAGGGTGTAGAACTGAATGGGGCTAAGAAGCCTCTTTTCTTCATAAAGTGACCAAGTGTCAGGCATCTTGCTATAGCAATAGGAAACAGAATGATAATAGCTACTGTTGTCAGAAGGCCCATGAAGCTTTACTTTCACTTCAGGGACAGAAACCTTTGGTGTTTTCTGATTCCAGAATGTCAGAAGCCTCACCTGCAATTTTTCACTCTTCCTCCCTCGCAGGACCTAAAGCAGGTGCCTCCCAGCCCAACGGTCAGATCCCCCAGGCAGCACACTGCATCAGTACCATTCTCGAGGAAGCCCAGCATCATGCTGAAGCAAGCAAGGTAAGGCCTGAGAGACAACTGGCTTTCATTCCAGCCAGCTGTCACCTGTACCTACCTTCTCAATCTCTAGCCACATTCTATTAACTGCGATTTTCAAGAGACCAAACATCTATTGGCAGCTATCGAAAAATCTAATTTCCTTTTGATCCTTGTTTTTTGTTTTTGTTTTATGTTTTGTTTTGTTTTTACCTTACAGTGACACAAGCTGGAATGGAAAGTTAAATCCAGCTGTTATCACACTCTATAGGGAAAAATGCAAACCCTGGTTTCCAATGCCAGAGACCTTTAGCTGTGCTTATTTTGGACCAAAATGGCTCTTTTGGCTTAGTCAAGGAATTTTAGCCATCTCCAAAAAAAAAAAAAAAAAGCATAGCTGAACTGGAGGCTCTTGGGATTTTTTTTCTGAATAAATTAGAGTAGCAACTTAGCCAGAAGCTCTATAAAAAGTGCTAACTGGGACCCAAAAACCAGACTAGAGGACAAGTAAAGGGATGAGATTGCACAATTTGCACGTTAGAGTTTTCCATTAGCGTCCTACACGCATCTTCAGAGCGACAGAGAAGGAAACACATTTGAAAATAACGACCAAATGAGTGTAATTCCTCCAGCTCATTTTAATGCATCTGAAAACTACAGTAGATAATTAGAATTTAGTCACCAATTCAGTTTATCTCCAAGTGGTGACACAAAAGCTGTTGACCTGTTTCCCATGTTTTACTCAAAGCAAACATAATCAGTTGGCAGCATCATGGCACCCAGCCCTTCTAACCAGTAGTCTCAACTTTAGGAATCTTTCATTCACCTCCTGCTGTTGCCCATGATGCATTGGAGGAAACGAAGAGTTTGATGTTTACTGAACATGTCATTCTTGAAAAACACTGTGGATCTTTAAAAGTTATGTGTCTGATGTTGTTATCTGCTTGGCCTGGCCACCTCATCACTTCTGTTACACCACTCAAAGACGTGCCTAAAAATGTGCAAAGAAGTGAAATAATCCCCATAACAGAAATCGTTAAACCCAGTGGGAACACAACTCCCCAAGAGGTCCCTTTAGAAAAGAAAAATCACTTGTTCTAAAAATGAAATCACTGAGGCTTAGAAACTAAGCAAAAGAACAAAGTGGAAGCCTAATCCAATGCAAATTTATACTAAACCAAAGGGAAGGAATTCCCAGAGACGTTGCATTATATCAGGCGTGAATTCTTCGTTGACCAGTGGCAGTCGAAGGGTTTATGATTGTGTTAAGACTTCATCCAAATGCTGCTCCAGCAGCACATGAATCCCCGGTTTGCTTTGCTTTTTCAGAATTCATTCACATCTTTTTTATTTGATCCTAATGTGAAGCATAGGAAAGCATTTCCAGAAAAATCTATGGGGGCGGGAGAGAAAGCAACAAGATGGAATTAAAAGATAAATTTGTTACCAAAAAAAATTTGAACCATGCCATTTTCCCATTACACACCTATTCCATGAACTTTGTGAGGATCCCTCAGATGCATGGGGATTTGGGGAAAGATGGGGACACCAAAATAAACTTCTCTCTGAATTCCATTTTCCACAAACTCCTCCAGAATAATAGGGGATTAAGGGATTATACCTGATCAACTTTCATACCCGTTGAAAAAAAATAATTAAGACTCAGGAGCAGGTGTCCCGAACTCCTGGGACTCCTGGCCGGCCACACTACCTCCCTAAAGAAAACAAAACTGCCTCAGGAGTTCTCTCCCTCAGGTCCACAGGCCTGGGGAAAGCATTGGTGCATGCAAGCGCTGCCCCCAGAACAGGTGGCCACGAGAATCCTGGTGCCAGGGCTGACACAAACACCACCTATAACCCAGAAGACAGCAACTTCCTTGAACTGCCCCTCCCACCAATACCACCACCACGGGCTTCCTTCTCATAAAACAGGAGTGAAATCATTTTTTGCATTGTTATTATTTCAGAAATTTTACTCAATTTATTGATGCATTGCAATTGCAGTGGGCGGCGGCAGGTGCCGCCTATCTTAAATGGCATCTACTTGGAGCAATCAGGCAGGGGGATCTTTTCTTGCATCATGAAATCATTTTTGTTATCTGCTCCTGACAGCTCCCCACAGCCCTGCTCTGGCACAGGAGCCGGCAGGCTGTGTTGGTGGCAGCACAGTGTGTGTGACTGCAGGCAGGCTGAGCCACCCGCCATGCATTCTGAATTGTCTCAGAGTTCGAGGTCACATTAAGACAGGGGCCACTAAGGTCCTTTCACTCCGCAAACTCCTCCTTTAAAACGGGTTGCAGGGAGCCACGTTGGAGATGGCCAAGCCCTCCTTTAAGGCTGGAGTGGTAAGGCTCCCTGTACCCCTCTTTTTCTCCACCCCCAGAAGCAGGCCAGCTGACCCATACTGCCGTCCTCTCCCCCACAGGACAGGAAGCCAGCCGTGGGGATCCAGAACCCCGGCACGCCCAGGGTGGCCCCCAAATCGCACCTGCCACCGCCGCCTCCGCCCGTGCGGCGCTCCTCAGAGCCGGCCAGCGGTCACAGCGGCGGCAGTCCAGCCATGGTGCCCAAGGCTGCTGCGCCGGGCCACGACGACGGCTACGAAGACGACAGCTGCAACGACCACGGCCACGCCAGCGACGGCGGAGACTACAACGAGGACTTCCTGCCGCCACCATCGCCAATCCCGTTTTTGGATGAGTTGCCAGACTTCCTGCCGCCGCCCCCACCTCCACCGCCGCCAGACGTGGGCGATGCGCCCCCAGACTTCGTGCCGCCGCCACCGCCGCCACCGCCAGTCAACAACGTGGGTTCCGCGCTGCCTCCACCTCCTCCGCCACCACCGACCACCGCGAAGACGGCCGGACCGCCCCCCATAAGCACCAAGAAGCCCCCAGCGCCCCCAAAGAGGGCAGAGCAGCCGAGGGCCGGAGGCGGAGAGCAGGAGTTTATGGCCGACCTGATGAAAGCCCTGCAGAAAAAGAGGGGCCACGTGTCCTAGGCGTTGGGGCCGGCTGGGTGGGCTCTGTGTCCATGCCGAACCCCCAGTGTGGACTGCTGGTAGCCCCGACGGGACGGAGGTGACACTGTTGTCCCCAAATACAGCTGTCCTCCCCCATTGTGTCCCCAGTGTGCATAGCCCTCTGTCCCGTTTAGATTCCTCCCTGCCCTCAAAGCCATGTATCTTCCCTCCCTGGGCTACTCCAGCGACATTGTAAGTTCTTCTATGATTGTATTCAGAGGCCTAGCATTGGAATAATAAAAAATTTTTTTTCCTGAAGGCACTACTTCTAGGAGTGGAATAGCCTACATTCGGTGTGATGTCGTAGGATCTTTGGGAGAACTGGCTTTCACAGGCGAGGCCTTCTTCCCACAATTACTCTATGACCTTGGGAATTCCTACAAAAGTCCAAAAGCTGGGGGGATAGACAGGTGGCTAGATGGGGGGGGGGGGTGTCACAAGCTAGAAGCCACAACGACAGCATCCTATGTAATCCTATTGGTCACCTGGGACCTAGGAAGCCTGTCTGGCAGAAGCACGCTCTCTCTCCCTCTCCTTCACCCTCTATTCAACATGTCCCTTCCTGCACCTGTGCTCCTGAACGTGGCACGTTTAATAAGCTTATGTAGATCCTATTTGTGCCTTTACTTAGGATGTTTTGTACCTGAGAGGCAAGAACCTGGAGCTGAGATTTGAGATCCAACCTAGCTCACAATGCAGAGGTGAGGTTGGGGGTGGGAGGGGAGGGGTAGAGAGACTATAGTTTTTCTTTGAGACTTGGTGTTTGATTGATTGGAATCCTGAAGACACAACTCTGATATATATATATATATATGGCTGAATAATAAAACAATTGAAAGTATAGTTTTTCTTAAAGATTTATTTAATTTTGATTGGGAAGGCAGATTTACAGAGAGAAGGAGAGGCAAAGAAAAGATCCTGCATCTGCTGATTCACTCCCCAAATAGCCACAAAAGCTAGAACTGAGCCTAACTGACTTTTCCAAAAATGGCTACCACAGAAATGCATTTCCACACAGATTTAGGATTTTACTCACACCTCTTTTTGCCTAGAATCCAGTAATGGGTTTAGTGCTTGGAAAAACTTGCTTAAATTAAACATCCCAAAACTGGCCTGATTTCCTATTTTATATCTTCTTTCATCATCAGATGTGTTTGAAGACAAATAGCTTTACGTTGGGGATCATTACAATGGTTTATTTAAGTGTCTATTGGCATTTATTACACTTTGCATATTGAGAAAAAATCTTCCTGACATGAAATATGTAACTCAAAAGTATCTAAGCCACCCAGGCATATACACACAAAGCTTTTAAAGAAGCTATTCATGAGAATCTCCAGCTTATAACATGTCCAAGTCCGTGAAATGCCCTCCAAAAGGCTTTCTCTCAGCCCTCCAACTGCAAGTTCCATTCAATACACTTGTAGAAAGACAGGGGGAGGCAACTCTTCCAAAAGCAGAGAGCCGTAGCAGATGTGACACCATCACTCAAGTCCTCAAACCCCATACTGCATCTGTCTGGCACACTTCCTGCATCTTTCCCACCTCTGCAATTCCTTAAAGAAACAGACTGTGCAGGAGCCATGGCTGTAACGCTCATGACACCTGGAAGGTCTAAAAGCCACTGGGTGATGACCATTTAGTGAATGAAACTAAGTGTGTTTGTGATAGTCACCTGGTATTTTTTTTTCTTAAGATTTCTTTATTTTTATTGGAAAGGCAGATAAACAGAGAGGAGGAGCGACAGAGAGCAAGATCTTCTATCCAATGATTCACTCCTCAAGTGGCCGCAATGGCCAGAGCTGCACTGATCCAAAGCCAGGAGCCTCTTCCGGGTCTCCAACATGGGTGCAGGGTCCCAGGGCTTTGGGCCGTCCTCAACTGCTTTCCCAGGCCATAAGAAGGGAGCCAGATGGGAAGTGGGGTTGCCAGAATTGGACCTGGCACCCATACAGGATCACGATGCATGCAAGATGAGGACTTTAGCCACTAGGCTACCTTGCCAGACCCTATTCTTAATTTCAAACATTTGATAAAAATATACATATTATTGGAATGTGAGTGGTCAGGACTTGAATAAGCACCCATGTAGGATGCTTACCTAGCTACACCACAATGCTGGCCCCAAACTTAAGCATCTTAAGCAGCATCTTAACCTTAGGACAAAATGCCAAACTCAAAACCCCCATGAACTTTCTGAAGTGTCCCCCTTCACATAGTTCTAAGGTTAAAGACAGCTTTATTGATAACTACATCACTTTCATCATTACTTTTTCATCCAGAATAATTTCAAATATCAAAAAACATTCTGTCATAGAAAAAAACACATATTAAAAATAGAAGCAGCTCAACAGCAGGAATATTTTTGAGAGCACAAGAAAACAGTATTCTGCATCAACAAATTAATGTTACTTTTTCATCAGAACAATGAAATATAAATAACTTGCCATGGGCAAAACCAACAGATATGCACGAGGCAATCAGTTGTGCCATCTCAGATACCACAATAGAAAAGAAATCCTGAAATAAAATCAGGAAATTTGGGGGAGGTTTTCCAGCGATGTGAGGCACAATTTTTGCAGGATCTCTGCTAAGTCACCACCAGAATATGGGAACTCAAAGATATGTCAGAGATGACTGAAGGAACTATCTCTAGTAGGAAAAATGGTAGCGAGTAAAAAATTGACTTGTCTGGAAACAAAACATAGGAGGCTCTCATGCAGCTTTGCGGTCCAGTCGAATCATAAACACAAGTATGAAAACTTAGCACAACAGAGTTAAATCTTGTGATTTTCAAAAATTCAAAATGTGTCACCACACAGAGAGACAGAGGAATTCCCTTCTTTGTGATTACTAAAAGAATAAAAAGCAGTAATACAGATTAACAATGTCCACAAGCTTTAGGATAAACTTATTCATAACTGGCAACCGATCCTTGACAAAAGTGCTAAGAACCCCCAGGGGGGAAGAGAGCCTTTATAATCCATAGGGTCGGGCAAACTGGATGCTCACGTGCAGAAGAACCGACCTCAACTCCTCTCTATCACCATGTATCAAGGTCAACACAAAGAGAATATACACACAAATCTAAGACCAGAGACTCTGAAGTTAATATGGGTGCGGGGCTGTAGCCAGACACAGTAAGTTAAGACAATGATCAGCAAAGTGAAAAGACAGCCTACAAAATAGAAGTAGTTACTTGCAAGCTATATATTTGAGGAGGGCTTAAAAATGAGAATATATAAGGGACTCAAATCAATAGCAACTGCATAAATAAATACCCCATTTTTTTTTTAATGGGTGAGATTTAAGCAGGCATTTCTCAAAGGAAGACATCAGAATGGCTGCCAGGCAAATGAAAAGACACACAATGTCATTAGACAACAGAAAAATGTGGGTTAAAACCACACTGAGCTTTCAACTCATTGCAGTGGAAATGGGCTGTTACCAAAACAGGTAACAGACAGCAAGTGCTGGGAAAAAGGGAACTCCTGCACATTATTGTCAGAAACACAAATTAGGACAGCTATTTATGAAAATTAGTGTAGATGTTCCTTAAAAAGTCAGAAAGAGAACTACCACGCAAGCTAGCAATAGCACTGCTCCGTGTTTAACCAAGGAAAATGAAATCCATTTGTCAAAGTTACATCTGCCCTCCTCCTGTGTTTATCACACCATCCTTCATGACAGCCAGGAAATGGAAACAACCCAAGTGCCATCCACTGATGAATGGATAAAGAAAATGGAAAGCATCTATCTAGCAAGCTATTACTTACATAAAATAAAGGAAGAAAATCTTGTCATTTGCAACATGGATAGGATTAAAAATCATTATGTCAACTGAAATAAACCCATCACAGACGGACAAAGACCACATGATCTGCTCTCTATGTGAGCATCCAAAAAAAATATGATCTCACAACAGTTACACATGTAAGTTTACATGAAGATGCATAGTGCATGTGTATAATGTAACACATAGCATATATAATGTATAATGGAGGTTTATAAGAGGCTGTGGAAAATAATATCGAAAGCTTGATCGCTAGGTACTATTAAGGAAGAGTACAGATAATGTTAAAGCATTGTGTAGCTCTCTCTGAAAAAGAAAAACTAGATATAGGACTTCAAATGTTTTCACCGTAAAGAATCGTTACAGGAGACACATTTACCCTGGCTGACGTGATGCACACATTGTCAGAACATCACCCGGTACCCCACAAAGATGCAGAATTTTTCTATGTCTGTTAAAACATTTTGAGAGGTAAAATGGTCACAAGAATAAATTTCCGCAACAATAGGAAATCACATTCTCACACTATGTATTATAGTCAACATATTTATTTGATGTTGCTAATAGAGCAATATCTATATTCTTCATCTATTAAGAAGTTCTATACATAACCAGCTTATAAGTGCGGCTGACAATGTAATAAGACAGGCAGGATTTGGGAGTGCACCTGCTCTTTTCTTCTAGGTGTGTTTCAAGTGAAGCAACTGTCCTGTCTCTATCTTGTGTATGAAGTGGTTCATTCTATCTTCCTGGAACAAAACATTCAAAGCACCTTTCACTTCCTGTCCTAACGAATTTTTTAAATTCTAAGCAGTAAACTCTAGTGTTGGCAGAACCACAAGGAAAAACAAACAAACAAAGGGAGCATGGTCATGTGCATATCATGATATTTTGGACAACAGTGGACCAAATAGGAGTACTTGGTTCTAGCTAATGATTCTAGCTTCCTCCCAACATGGGTCCTGGTAGGTAACATATGTAGGTTCAAGTGGTTGGATCTCTGTTATTCAGAGAGGAAACCTGAGTTAGTTCCCAGCCTCTAGCTTCATCTTGGTCCTGGCACAGCATTATGGGCATTTGAGGAGGGAAGGTGCCAATGAGTAAATGGGAGCTGTGTCTGTGTGTGTGTGTGTGTGTGTGTGTCTGTGTGCGTATAACATTTTTTCAGTTGCTTGGCTCTCAAATTTAACAAGAAAGTTAAAAATAAAGTTAAAAATGCTTATAATGTAAAACTTTTACAGAAAGCTAAAGTTAACCAATCAACAGAGAAAGAAAATGTTTAATGAATGTAATATCAGTTAAACAAGCAGTATCTATAAAGTCTGTGGTAATATAACATAACTGTGTCATAATCACTAAGTCACTAGGGCAATCATCCTGCCAGCTCCATTCCAGGAAAGTGCCCTTTAGAATGGAACCATCTTTTATCTGCCATTTCCCATGTGCACTGTCTCTTTTCCAGGTT